TGGGATCCCGGATGCGTTCAAGGCGAGAACTTTAGCTGCTAGGCCACGCCGCCGGGCCTTCTCCAGCTGTTTTCAATCTGCAATTGGTGAAGTTCCCGGACATTGGGGATCTGTGTGTCTGGACTCTCGGAAAGTGCCCCTCACCTTGCAGTCCCCAGGCCGTCCTCCATACATCGTGAACCATCCTCTCCATGGAGAGGACCGGGGGAGGGGGAAGCGGGGCTTGGGTAGCTGTGAGAGATCCACACAGGGCGGAGAAGAGAGGATTGACCCCCAGGAGCTCCCAGGAAGCAGGAGCTTTGCTGAGCTATAAATGACACTGATGAATTGGCAGTGTTTTTGCACATCAATGTAATTGAAATGTAGTTGGCATTCAACCCTTTTACCCCAAATTCAGTCCTGAAAAAAAAAAAAACACTTTCTCTTGCAAATGTGCGGATATCTATTATTAAGTGCTGTTTGGCAGATGTTATTTCGACGATTTTTTATATTGGAGACATGATGAATCATGGTCACTTAGAGAAGGAGAAAACAGCCTATTGGTTCCTGGAACATGTACGCCAGCATCCTTGCTGATTCAGTTTATCAAGAAAGCTCAGTCCGAAACTATAGAAAAACAAACGAACGAACAAAGTCTGCTTTATAGTGCTCATCCCCTCACCTCGTACTCGGTAATTGTGGAGCCCGTTTGCGAATTGAAAGATTCCAGCCCGGCACCATCAGACAACAGAGGAAAGTATCTCATGACTTGATTTAGAAGAATGTTAAGGTTAGTTAGCACTTTTCAATATACGTGCTTGGGTCCTCTTTAGACGGCTATTTCCAAGGAATCTAAATGCTGTAAGGGTACATCATACAAGCACAGAAGTCTTAAGCAACGCTCCGCCTGGGTACAGGAGTCTGTGCGTTCTGCAGGGAGGTGCTGGGGACACCTCTTTTCCATGAGGACTTGCCGAGCTGCCAAGTTCCATTTCCTGCGCTAGCTTCCAACATCACCCTCCCTGGTGACCAGGCAGGTGGACGTGTGTGTCGCAGCGCTGTTGTTGTTGCTAGACCTGTTGAGTCCGTGGATTATCCATTGCACTTTCTTCCCTCATACCTGAATTGAACCCAGAAGATTCTCAGGTGTGATCAAAATGGCCACGAGAGCAACGTCTCTTGATAATCACCCCGAAAGCTTTTCCTTGTGCTTGAGCCACGGGAGAGAAAGCACCCACCCCGAAGTGATGCTGAAAGTGGATTGTAAGGAAAGGGGAACTTAAAAGACCGGGCAAGGGACAGACAGAGACAGGTGAGAGGGGGTCATCAAGGGTAACGTCTCAGAAACTGACCTGGACCCCCCTCTCCAGGTGAGCCCTAGGGGGAGGAAGTGGGGACGGGCAGAATTGCATCCAGTCACTTGGAGGAGTTGAGGAATGGGTTTCAGACGTTTTACCCCATGTCAAAGAGACACTGGATGCCTGAGCGGGGAGCTCAGAAGAGAAACTTGTCTAAATGGGAAAGTAAGCATCAATAGCTCTACATCCCGCTGGGCACCATGGGGATGGCTGGGGTTGGCAGGCGAAGATGAGTGGGGAGGGTGTGCGGGGATCGTGGGCAGCGGGACTCGGTCACTGCTTCAGCAAGTGCAAGGAGAGCAGGGGCACCATGAGAGGCAAGGTCAGCCCGCTGTCCTGCATCCCAGCCTGCCCTAAGACACGTCTCCTCAGACTCCGCCCTCTTCTGTCTGTCCAGGCGGGAGAGGAAGGGCTTCGTCTAACCTCGGTAGCTCCAGTGAGGGTGGCTTCTCCTGGCGACCGCTCTTGAGCTCCTGCAGCCTCTCCAAGCTCTCAGTGGAACAGTGGATGCGCCAGACGCTGCTTTGAAGTCTCAGGGGATCATCCTTCAGCATTCCTGCTAACTTCTTATTGGAATTCCCCTTGGCTTCTTTACTAGTCTCCAAGAAATCCATGGAATATAATTTTTTTTTAAGATTTATTTTTATGACAAAGCCAGATATACAGGGAGGAGGAGAGATAGAGAGGAAGATCTTCCGTCCAATGATTCACTCCCCCAAGTGAGCGCAACGGCCAGTGCTGTGCCGATCCGAAGCCAGGAGCCAGGAACCTCCTCCACGTCTCCCACACGTGTGTGCAGGATCCCAAAGCTTTGGGCCGTCCTCAACTGCCTTCCCAGACCACAAGCAGGGAGCTGGATGGGAAGTGGAGCTGCTGGGATTAGAACCGGTGCCCATATGAGATTCCGGGTGCATTCAAGGCGAGGACTTTATCCGCTAGGCCACGCCCCATGGAAGTAACACAGAGCCCCTGGGCAAGTTCACGTTGCCACAAGATCCATGTCACTGTGAGTTCCATGCAAAGTTCCCAGAACCAGCCCCAGAAATGCTTAATAAATGTGCATGACAATCTGGTCACCATCCGAGGGTCTCATGATTATGTCCCGAAGAAGCTCACCTAACTGGCACTTGGCCCTGTGACAACGTCTGATCTGCCTGCCTGATCCCAAAGCTTTGGGCCGTCCTCAACTGCCCTTCCCAGACCACAAGCAGGGAGCTGGATGGGAAGTGGAGCTGCTGGGATTAGAACCGGTGCCCATATGAGATTCCGGGTGCATTCAAGGCGAGGACTTTATCCGCTAGGCCACGCCGCCGGGCCCCATGGAATATAATTTCTAACACAGATGTATGTTGTTGCCCCTGGGCAAGTTCATTGCTTCCTGTTTCCCGGCCTGTGAATTGAAGTTGCCACAAGATCCATGTCACAGGGTTGGTAAGGATAAAATGAGTTCATTCATGCAAAGTTCCCAGAACCAGCCCTGGTACAGAAATGCTTAATAAATGTGCATGACAATCTGGTCACCATCCGAGGGTCTCATGATTATGTCCCGAAGAAGCTCACCTAACTGGCACTTGGCCCTGTGACAACTAAGGAATGTGAACCAAAGAACTGATCTGCAAACTGGGGAAAAAAAAAAAAAAAGCCAAAGAAGGCCCCAAAGGGGGAGAGAAAGGGTTGGTTCTGAGCCCCCTGCTTCAGCTTCAAACAGATGGCATTCTTTTTTATTGATTTTGCACGCCCCATTCTAGAAAAGTTCCATTTGGAAAATAGGGTCTTATTGTTTAGCAAAGGAGAGACAAAAGGAATCCTGGCGAGGCTGCTGCTAGGGAGGATGAGAGCCTCGCCCTGTGTTACAGTAAAGCCTTGCTGTGTGGAAGAGCACCTGCCAAGTGCGACTGTGCTGCCTGCTTCTACCCCGGATCCCATGCCAGGCATGCGCCCTGGGCTATGACTGCTCCCCACAGGGAACACAGCTGCAGCCCCAGGACAGGGGCTTGGCAAGGCTCCATGGAGCAGGACGGGAGGACCTCAACAGGCAGAGACGCTGTGGACAGCAGATGCTGGCAGCCGGAGCCACATTCACAGAGTTCCCACCATGCCCCTCCTCACAAATAACGAGCACCTTCCGTGCTTCAGCCCACTTTGTTTTTCTTTTTTTAAGACTTATTTTTATTGGAAAGGCAGATTACAGAGAGGAGGAGAGACAGAGAGGAAGATCTTGTGTCCAATGATTCACTCCCCAAGTGGCCACAATGGCCGGTGCTATGCCGATCTGAAGCCAGGAGCCAGGAACTTCTTCCGGGTCTCCCACGTGGGTGCAGGGTCCCAAGGCTTTGGGCCGTCCTCAACTGCTTTCCCAGGCCACAAGCAGGGAGCTGGATGGGAAGTGGAGCTGCCGGGATTAGAACCGGCTCCCATATGGGATCCCAGCACGTTCAAGGCGAAGACTTTAGTCACTAGGCTACCATGCTGACACTGCAACCCACTTTGACTGAAAGCCAGCGGGCAGAAATTCTGCACACTCCCTTAGGGAGAGCAGCAAGAAAATCACATCTTTAGAGTTGGTTTTAAGAAGATGCATGGGGTGGGCCCAGCGCCATAGCCTAGTGGCTAAATCCTGTGTGGGAGACCCGGAAGAGGCTCCTGGGTCCTGGCTTTGGATCGTCTCAGCTCCAGCCGTTGTGACCACTTGGCCAGTGAACCAGCAGACAGAGCTCTTTATGTGTCTCTCCTCCTCTGTGTAAATCTGCCTTTCCAATAAAAAAAAAAAAAAAATAAGTAAATCTTAAAAAAAAAGTGGTGTGGGGTGCAGCCAGCATGATGGCTCCCCAGACTAACCTTCCACCTGCAAGCACCAGCATCCTATATGGGTGCTGGTTCCAGTACCAGCTGCTCCACCTTCAATCCAGCCCTCTCCTTACGACCTCGGAAAAGCAGCAGAGTATGGCTCTGGTCCATGGGACCCTGCACCGGTACGGGAGACCCAGAAGCTCCCGGCTTCCAGCTCAGACTAACCCAGCTCTGGCCATCGCAGCATTTTGGGAGTGAACTGGCGACCTGAAAATCTTGGTCTGTCCTTTCTGTAAATCTGAATGGGCCGAGGAGCAAGCTGCCACAGGCAGGAACCCAGGGCAGGGTGCCACTCTGGGTTGGGTTTGATCTGCAAGCACAGGTGGCTCTCAGCAATGATGTCAGCCAAGCTTCTTAGGGCACACTGAGCCTTCTTCCAGTTCGTTCCTTCCGTTCTGGAGGAATCTTCCCCAAGACCTGCAGCTCACACTGCCGCCAGGGAAGATGGAGCCCTAAAAGGGTTTACACAGAGTTCCGACGGTCTCCACCCCCTCAGCCTGCAGAACCTGGGGGTGACAAGCCCCGCCTGTCACGAGTGTGAGTCAAGATCCTAGCATGCGTATAAAACATCAGAATCACGATTCCTGGAGAGCTCCCGGCCACGCTTGTTGGTGGCCGAGCCCAGCAGCCGCGGCACCGCTGCCATGACCGGCGCAGTGACCGACTCCTCGCCTCGGCCACGGTGCCGGACTCGAACCGGCGGCCGCGCGCGCCGCGCCCTAGCCCGCCCCGGCGGCGCCGCCTTCCGCCACGCAGGCCCCGCCCCGGCGCCGCGTTCTGACGTCACCGCCTGCGCCGGGCGCAGCAGAAGCAGGAAGTGGGACCAAAACAAAGGAGCGGCGGCCGGGAGGCGAGCTGCGTCTTCTCGTCCCGGTTCCGCGCCCGGCCGTGGCCGCCGACCCCGCGGGAGCGGTTGCGATCATGTCCAACATGGAGAAACACCTGTTCAACCTCAAGTTTGCGGCCAAAGAACTGAGCCGGAGCGCCAAGAAATGCGACAAGGAGGAGAAGGCCGAGAAGGCCAAAATTAAAAAGGCCATCCAGAAGGGCAACATGGAAGTGGCGAGGATCCACGCCGAGAACGCCATCCGCCAGAAGAACCAGGCGGTGAATTTCCTGAGGATGAGCGCGAGGGTCGACGCGGTGGCTGCCAGGGTGCAGACGGCCGTGACGATGGGCAAGGTGACCAAGTCGATGGCCGGCGTGGTGAAGTCCATGGACGCGACGCTCAAGACCATGAACCTCGAGAAGATCTCGGCCCTGATGGACAAGTTCGAGCACCAGTTCGAGACGCTGGACGTGCAGACGCAGCAGATGGAAGACACGATGAGCAGCACGACGACGCTGACCACTCCCCAGAACCAGGTGGATCTGCTGCTCCAGGAAATGGCCGACGAGGCCGGCCTCGACCTCAACATGGAGCTGCCGCAGGGGCAGACGGGCTCGGTGGGCACGAGCGTGGCGTCGGCCGAGCAGGACGAGCTGTCGCAGAGACTGGCTCGCCTCCGGGACCAGGTGTGAGGGACGCGGTGGGGGCAGCGGGGCGGACCGGACGCCGAGGCCCGTGGCCCTGGGGGAGTCGGCGGCCCGTGCCCCGGGGGTCCTCCGCCAGTGCCCCTGGGGGAGTCGGTGGCCCTTGCCCCTGGGGGAGTCGGCGGCCCGTGCCCCTGGGGGTCCTCGGCCAGTGCCCCTGGGGGAGTCGGCGGCCCCTGATCCTGGGGGTCCTCGGCCCTTGCCCCTGGGGGTCCTCGGCCTCCGCAGCCCGTGCCCCTCAGTGCCCAAGGCGCTTGTCCCTTGGGGTCCGCGGCCCTCTTTACCTGCGCTGGGAACGCCAGCCTCTCGCCACTCCCAGCTGGAGTTTAAAGTTCTGTATAGCTTGTGACGACGATGTGTATTTTTATAGCCGCCTTCTAACGACTAGCTAATTTGGTGTTTACAGATCGTTGGAAATCGAACAACGCTCTGGTTTCCGTGTGTTCAGTGTAATCGGTACTGTCTGGGTTGGGAGATGCCGCCTGAACAACTCCGGAAGGGGAATGGGTGGTTCCTTTCATGCCTCGTGGGGCAGTGACTCAGTGACTGTAGGTTTCTGTGTATCCTTCATTTTGCTTGCCCCTCGGAACAGCACTGCAATTGACTATTGGTCTGTTCTCAGAACTTATACTAAAATGATCGGAGAATTCTTGCGCATTAACGCTCTGGTGCTGCCTAAGTTCTGTTCACTTCTCATAGCTTGAGGAAATGCCACCGAGCCTCGGGGGTCAGGAACAGTTAGGGTGCACTTTCTATTTACCCGTTGTTTTTTTTTTTTTTTAACAGACAGAAGGCTTAAGGTTGGACAGTTTCGCTTCAAGCAACCCTCTCAGCACCTTGCTGGTTATTTTTCTGGCTCACACCTGAGTCTTAACAGACTGTGTTAATTAGCATGGCAGTCATATGACTCATTCTAGCATTGCCAAAGAACTGGTGATTGTCAATTGCTTCCGGAAACCCTTGGGACTCTGTGTGTGCGTGCGTGCTTGTGTGTGTGTAGGTTTTGTTTGGGTTTCTTTAACCAAAAGCAGAAATAAAATTAGAACTGCATTTTAGGTTCTAATTATTTGCTTTTTTTTTTTTCTTAAAGCAACAATTATTTAGGATACTTGATAATGCAGTTTGAAATGTTTTCTCCAGCTTTTGAGATCTCGCATATGACTCTAGCCAGCCGGAAGTCTGGGAAGAAAGGATAAGATGGAGTTGGAAGGACAGAGATGGAAAGAGACCCAGCTCTGGCACTGTGTGTCTTAACAGGCACAGGCAGTGCGTGTGTAGGCCCCACTTTCTCCCCACCCCCTCAAAACGTGGCCATTCACCTCACCAAGGACGCATAGTAACTTCGTCCTTTCCTTCACAGGAAGATTTCTCTACAGGAGAATTACATATTCTAGAAAAGAATTATTGACTGTTCCACATTCTTTGAAACATCCATAATAACCAGGTGTTCACCATTGTAACATGTCTTCCCGTGTGGGTGAGTGTTCAGGAAAATAAAAAAGTAATCTGTATGCTGAGGAGGACAACCTCTGGGGACCTCTGACTGGAGGCTAGTCCGTGTGCTGGAAGGGCCACCCGTTGGTCACGGGCCCAGCATCCTCTCTCTAGAAGGCCGAGTGTCTGCTCGCACGCAGGTTGCATTGAAGGAGAGGGGCAGGAGCCAGCACCCCACCTCTAGACTGTAAATTCGCAACAAGCCTCAGAAACAGCTGAGTGGCGACACCTTTGGCAAATTTTAAATCCCTTTTCTAATGCAAATATTCCCAACAAAATATATTTTGTGAGATTAAACGATACTTGTATATGCTCAGACTTTCTTAAAAATGTTCACTTCATACTATATGGATGTACATTTTTATGAATCATAAAGGTTATTTTCAAAGGCACTACGGCCCCATGAATTATTTCCTCACTTCTGGAGTTGATAAAACACTGAAATGTAAATCATATAAATTTATCAAATAAATAAATAATTCTAAGCTTTACTGTGAATGCGCGTGCCTCCTATTTAAGAATTCAGAGCCAGATTGAGCTTGGAAAGCATCGTGTGTCTTTCCAAGTCGGCACTCAGGTCTCACCACCAGTGTGTGTTTGGTTGGCATGGCATGTTGAGGCCTGTTTCTTGAAGCCATGCCTGTTACTTCCTTAAATGTAATTGTTTCTTCATGACAAGTTTTGTTGCTGAAATTCTCCAAGGTCAAAGACATAGGGAAGGTGCCCAGAAAGGCTCCAGCTCCGAACAGGAAATGATTCCATGTTCCATGCAAGTGCTAGCACTGCTTTCAGCCATAGATCTGCCTTTGTTTGTCGACCTTCAAAGGCGCCATGTCTAGCATGTAGTTAGAACTGATGTGGGAGAACCTGAGTGGACTAGTGCGAGGATTTAACTCTTTCCCCCCCACACCGTTGGAAGGCTCTTGTGAGAGCTTGCCCTTCCCAGGCTCAGCCACAGTCTATCCTGCTGCCTGAGGGGGAAAAAAATTCCTAAGATAAGCACTGGCAGGCAGCCTTATTAACTGAGTATAGTACAGAAATCGGCCAGCCAGCCCCACTAGTGCAAATTTTGTGTGCAATATACACCATACCCAGGTAAGCTAAATCCCAGGCCTGACAGCAAAAGGCTGAGCAGACCCTTGTAATTTTGTTTTACAGATTAACTGACTGGAATTAGCAAACTGTTGGCTTCATTTGCCCAGGTGTGCTAAGTTCCTTTAAGAGTCAGACCAGTGGCTGTTTTGGTCTGGATTCCTACGGCTGGTACAGAACCCCGTGGGCTGCTGCTGGCATGCTGCTTACAGCATGACAAGGGGCACAGGAAAGGAAAGCCAGGGCTATGAGTTCCCCAAGGATGGGTGCCTTACAGCAGCTGCCCAAATGTCGGCCTGTTGCTGTCCTGCAGTGATGGACTTGGTGCACGGAGCCGATAATAACACGCGTGGACTCTGACTGATGGTCGAAAGCCAAAGTTTATTAGTGGCATCAGACTTTATACACTGAGGGTCATATGGGATAAGGGAGGAAGTATTGAGCTTATCAACAAAACCCATCAACTGTTTCTATACTTTTGTTTGGAACTCCTTTTGTATATTCCACCAAGTGTTCTCATTCACATGCTGTCACTCAACTGTTCTCATACAAATGATATCCAATCAGGTATACAAAAGGTGTCTATTCAGTTGTTCTCATACAAATACTATCCAATCAGTTGTAATCCTGTGCTCGCTGACCTTCCAGGGTCATAATGTCCTTCTACATTTGCCCCAAGTTTGTGTGAATGGTGGGAGCACAAATAGCTTGACGGTGTGTGTTTATTCAGAATGGATACAGTGAGCGATTGAGACAGGAATATATAAAGTGCCAGCTCCGTGGAGCTTCTTTCTAGAAAATTTTTTTTAAATGTATTTATTTTTATTACAAAACCAGATATACAGAGAGGAGAGACAGAGAGGAAGATGGTTCACTCCCCAAGTGGCCGCAACGGCTGGAACTGAGCCAATCCAAAGCCAGGATCCAGGAGCTTCTTCCGGGTCTCCCACGCGGGTACAGGGTCCCAAGGCTTTGGGGCTGTCCTCAACTGCTTTCCCAGGTCACAGGCTTGGAGCTGGATGGGAAGTGGAGCTGCCAGGATTAGAACTAGCGACGATATGGGATCCCAGTGCATTCAAGGCGAGGACTTTAGTCACTATTGCGCCTTGCCCTTTTCTAGAAATTTTTAAAGAACGAAAGAAAAAAAAACTTTGCTCTTAGATGACATTCAACAAATCAGTGAGGTAGATACGATAGGGCATACACATAAAAAGAAAATGGATATGGATGTATTCAAACTAAACATCTGCCAAAAGAACACAAAAGTACACTGGGTGCACTTTATTGCATTTTGTATCTCATCATTTGAGAAGGGGATTAATCACAGGATCAGGCAGCTTGCCTGAAAGCAGCGTCGGGGACACGGCTGGTCGACATGGCTGCTAAGAGCGGCTGTGGGACAAGCTTAACTTTGAGAGGAAACGGGGGATCTGAGAGGTCACAGAGACTGGTCAGGAATGGAGAGGTGATTGGACATAAAAGGACACCACTGGACAGGTGGCAAGGGGTGTGGCAGCTGGGCTGAAAGGACAGAATTCACCTGAGGAGGGAAGCAGGTGCAGCATCAAGGATTGCACACAGAATCCCCACCACGGGGAGTGGTCAGGGCTTCAAACTGCTGGTCAACTTCCTGGCATCCACTCAGCTGCCTGGGACCTGTAGCCAGTGTGATTGTTCCTAGACCAGGGACCCTAGCTGCACATTAAAACAGCTTGGTGAAAGAGAATGCAAAAAGTTCATGGAAATTGAGTTTACTTCAACAAGCAAATCCAAAACCCATGCATATAAGCATCTTCTGAGAGCTTATGAAAAATGTATTTCTGGGAAAAAAATGCATGTATTTCAAAATATGCACCAAAATGAACATCTTTTAATTCTATCTGTAATATGCTTCATCACCATATGGGTACTGTTTTTCTCCACCAGCACTTTTATATCTTGTGGGTGAGTATCATGAATTAATTTCAGTAGCACATTGAGAAAAAATATTTTGCTTGCCTGACAGAATTCTGACTTGCTGTGTAGTTTCACAATACAAACCAAGTACATTTCTCAATTAAATGTAGTCGTGTATCCTCAGATCCGGAAGTTTCATTATTAAGGCATTTGGCAAAATTGTTTTCATCTTTTCCTGACTCTCCTGAAATCCCCTCTTTGTGGCCAATCCAAAGACCATCAGAATTCTATGACTTTGGATCATTTTAGCGGGGAGAAAGATAAGAAATGGGATTTTTTTTAAGATTTATTTATTTATTTGGAAAATCAGATATACAGAGAGGAGAAGAGACAGAGAGGAAGATCTTCCGTCCGATGATTCACTCCCCAAGTGAGCACAACGGCCAGTGCTGCGCCGATCCAAAGCCAGGAGCCAGGAACTTCCTCCAGGTCTCCCACAGGGGTGCAGGGTCCCAAAGCCTTGGGCCGTCCTCGACTGCCTTCCCAGGCCACAGGCAGGGAGCTGGATGGGAAGTGGAGCTGCCGGGATTAGAACTGGCACCCATATGGGGTCCCTGGGCGCGTTCATGGTGAGGACTTTATCAGCTAGGCCATGAAATGGGATTTAAAATAAATAAATAAAGCATTGTTTTGTTGATTGTTTTGTCAATAGCAAACAGAAGTGGGACCTGAACTATGAAAATACGAACGTGTCTTCAGGACAGGAGTCGTAGCACAGCTGGTTAAGACATCACTTGAGATAGCTCATTCCACATCAGAGTGCCTGGTTCAAGTCCTACCTCTTCTGCCTCCACGTGGAATCCAGCTTCCTGTTAGCATGTCTGGGAGGCAAAGAATGACAGCCAAACTATTGGGTTCCTCCCACCCGTAAGGGAGGCCCAGGTGGAATTCACAGCTCCTGGCTTCAACCTGGCCCACTCCTGGCTGTTTCTGGGTATTTAGTGAGTAAACCAGCAGATGAGATATCTCTCATGTTATGGGCTATGTTGAGGTTAATATTCCTTTTCTGAGCTTTTTGCCTCTTAAAAAGCACACTAAGGACAGGCACAAATATAGCTTACAAAGTGATAACATTTATTTAAAAGATGACAAAATCATGGATACCTGTGGGGCACGCGCAGGAATCCAGTGGGCTGGGGAGAGCGTTTTGTTTTTTTTTTTAAGATTTATTTATTTTTATTACAAAGACAGATATACAGAGAGGAGGAGGAACAGAAAGGAAGATCTTCCGTCCAATGATTCACTCCCCAAGTGAGCGCAACGGCCGGTGCTGCGCCGATCCGAAGCCAGGAGCCAGGAACTTCCTCCAGGTCTCCCACGTGGGTGCAGGGTCCCAAGGCTTTGGGCCGTCCTCGACTGCTTTCCCAGGCCACAAGCAGGGAGCTGGATGGGAAGTAGAGCTGCCAGGATTAGAACCGGCGCCCATATGGGATCCCGGGGCATTCAAGGCGAAGACTTTAGCCGCTAGGCCATGGCGCCGGGCCTGAGAGAGATGTTTCTACCTTGTATCCTCTGTGTGTGCCAAGAACAGGGATGGGAGGAGACACTCCCCATGCCCAGACCACCCCAGGTCCCAGATGGGGAAGTACTTCCTGCCAAAAGCATTTGGTTGGTAGGTGGTTGAGTAGGATTCAGATATGGCTTCCAACCCGTGAACAAGCTAGCTACCTACGTATCCCCCCCAGACTCCTGTCTCCATCTCTGTCACCGTGCCTTGCAGATGTGCTTTTAGAAAGGAAAAAAAAAAAACCTGTATCTGCAGGTAAGAGCATCGTCAGCTATGGTAGGACAGAACGAAAAAGTCAACATCAAAATTGCTCTCCCAGTACTGTAGTTTGTAATTAGTGTAGTTTGGTGTTATTGATGATTTTCTTTAAAAACATTTGTTCATTCATTTGAGAAGCAGAGAGAGAGAAATGGAGGGAGAGATCTTCCATCCACTGGTTCATACCCACCCCCGGTGGCCACAATGACCAGAACTAGGCCAATCCAACAGCAGCCATGCGGGCACCGGGGCCTACACACTTGCACCATCTTCTGCTGCTTTTCCTAGGCACAGTAACGGGGAGTTGGATCGAAAGTGGAACCACCGGGCTGGCGCCATGGCCTAGCGGCTAAAGTCCTCACCTTGAATGTGCCCGGGATCCCATATGGGTGCCAGTTCTAATCCCAGCAGCTCCACTTCCCATCCAGCTCCCTGCTTGTGGCCTGAGAAAGCAGTACAGCACGACCCAAAGCTTTGGGACCCTGCACCCGCATGTGGGAGACCTGGAGGAAGTTCCTGGCTCCTGGCTTTGGATCGGCGCAGCACTGGCCGTTGCGCTCACTTGGGGAGTGAATCATCGGACGGAAGATCTTCCTCTTTGTCTCTCCTCCTCTCTGTATATCTGACTTTGTAATAAAAATAAATAAATATTTAAAAAAAAAAAAGTGGAACCACCGAGAGCTAAAATGGCCCCCATACAGTTTGACAAGGTTTGGCCATATTTGTCGTTCTTAAATCTGCTTGAACATGTAATCATATGCAAAATTCTGTGTATGCTTTGGAAGACTCCCTGATTAAACCCCATTTTCAGATACACAGTCTCAGGAGACTCCGTTTGAAGAAGCACTTCTACAACATATTTGAAAATATGTCAGTTTGAACCAAAAATCCAGGTGTAAGGCTGGCCTAAATGTACCACTGTTAAGGGGAAATCGATGCGAAAGACAGAGATTGCCTTGGTTCTTGTCTTATGTGAAAGGAGTATCTCCATGCAGACAAGTCAGCAAAGCAAGACTTATGGAAGATTTTAATCTCTTGCTGCAGTAGTTAGGAGGCAGCTCCAAAAGAGGAAGACACCAAAAGCTGGTTGAAATGGAGTCTTAAAAATGCACAGTGGAGGACCCGACGCTGTAGCCTAGCAATTAAAGTCCTCACCTTGCACGTGCCAGGATCCCATATGGGTGCCGGTTCGTGTTCTGGCAGCCCTGCTTCCCATCCAGCTCCCTGCTTGTGGCCTGGGAAAGCAGTCGAGGACAGCCCAAAGCCTTGGGACCCTGCACCCGCGTAGGAGACCTGAAAGAAGTTCCTGGCTCCTAGCTTTGGATCGACTCAGTTCTGACCGTTGCAGCCGCTTGGGGACAGAAGATCTTCCTCTCTGTGTATCTTACTTTCCAATAAAAATAAAATATATCCTTAAAAAAAAAAAAAAGGCGCAGTGGAGCCAGCGAGTGGTGAAAACAGAGCAGCAGCTGACAGAGGTGAGGACACACAATTCAGAGAACCAGAATTATAATCCTGCACAGCTTGCTCAGAGCAGAAGCATCAGAAGGCCTTTTCCATCTTCCATGCAACTGCTAACTTCTAGTCTCATGATAAACTGAAAACTCAGGCCGCATTGCTGCTTCCTTGCTGTTCTGCTAAGACTCAAAACCCAAAGCAACAGGAGAACTCAGCTGACCCCCTGTCTGTTGCTCTTCTTTGGTCTTGCTAAAGGCAGCTGCCGGGAAGTTAGGTTCTAGTTTTTTAGAATGATTTTCTTTTTACTGGAAAATCATATTTACAGAGAGAGAAGAAGAGACAGGCACATCTGTCCCATCTCCTGGCTCACAGTCCAAATGACTGAAATAGCTAGAACTTGGCCACAGTCCTAAGCCAGGCAACAGGAGCTTCTTCCAGGTCTCCCACATGAGTGCAGTGGCCCAAGCACCTGGGTCACCCTCCGTGGCTTTCCCAGGCCATTAGCAGGGAGCTGAGTCAGAAGTGAAACAGCTAGAACTTGAACCGGTTTCCATGTGGGACGCCCATGTTGCAGTCAGAGTCTTAATGTGCTACACCAAGGCATGGGTCCCTCTCTTTGTTTTCTTATTTGAAGAGCTCCCGTGTGTCTGTCCTAAATGACTGAGGACAGGCCGGGCTGAAGCCAGGAGTGAGGATTCAAACCGAGTCCCCTGTGGAAGCCCCAGGAACCCAAGCACATGACCATCACCTGCTGCGTTCTTGGAGACCTACACCAGCAGGAAGCCAGAACTGAAAGCTGAAGCTGGAACCCAGACGCAGGCATTCCACTATAGGACAGCAGCCAAACACCCACCCTTGCCTAACCACCAGGCCACACGCCCATCCTTGCCACCCCATTCTCTATTCTCAGTTCTGTTGACAGAACTGGGCGGTGAGGGCACACTGACGTTGAACGATGAATTTTCGCATGTTATTGCACAGCACAACTCCGTGAAGCTCAGCAACTACGGCATCAGTGGCCTTCCAGAAACTCCCTTGGAAATGCTCCCTGTGGCCCCCCACGTGTCTCAGAGGCCGTGGAAGTAACTGTCAGAGCTGATTGGAGGGGCGGGGAGAAGCTGCCACCTCTCCTTGTCAGCATATCTCAGAGTCACTTCTCTTTGATAGCCTGCAAAAAGGGACTCCCACCAGTTCCTTTGGAAGGCAGCATTTAATCATGTACCAGCCCTCATTCTTTCCACCATTATTACCATATGAATAAATCCGCCCACCTACCTCCACCCTATGTGCATTGTGGGATAAATTGGTTACTTCCTAAATTCTAACTATAGCCCTAAACTTCATACTCAATTATTAGTTCCATCCGGCCTTCCGCCTCAGGCCTGACTTGTTCCCGCCCCACCTGCCTGGTGCCGCGTGTGTATGGTCCAGGGGCGGGGCCATCTCTGAGCACAGAGAAGCACTTTGTCACACCTGGGTCAGGGCTATCCACCAAAGCTCCCTTCCTGCTGCTACTGCAGAGATCTGCCTTCATCAGAGACTCCGAGGTCTCCCTCTTCCACCTCCTGCTCGAAGCCAAATCCTCACCCCAGACCCTTCACCCACCTTTAGGTTGAAACATTGGCACCTGCCAGGGCTTACGGTGTCTGCTCCATCAGAAGGTCCTTTGTGACCCACGGAACACATCAGACCAAAGCAGTCACCCTCGCCAGCTTTTGGAGCCTTCCCATCTCTCCGAGCTGAGCTGACCTCACTCCTGCCTACTGAGGCCCCCCCCACCACCACCACTTCCTGTCCCCAACATGGAGACTCCATAGTTGTCCATCAGCTCATTCTGTTGACGGTTCACCTGCCACGGAGGTGGCTCTTGGTGCAGGTCGAGGGCAGGTGTTAGACCAGAGCCATGACGCAGGGATGGAGGCTATGGAAATGCCACCTCCCACCTGAGCCCCACCAGACCCTCAGGAGGACTGGCAGGCCATGCGGCAGGTGTGTGGAGAATGATGTGCTGTGAAGGGGACCTGTAGGCCGAGAGAATACACAGCTGCCTCCCACCCTGGGGCCCAGGCATCAGAGCTCCTGTTTGAGACAGGTGGGCAAGGAGGGCCTCCCAGGAGGCCAGGAACAGTATCCTTCGTGGCCTCCTGCAGGAGGGAGAGCCATGCCTGTAGCCTCTGAGAAGAGAGAACCCCATGTTACTTCATCTGTCCCATGCTCTTCTTGCTTCTCCAACCCTGGGTTATGTGGCACAGATCAGACGGATGGGACATACTCTGGCAGCCTGAGCAGGTGTGCCAACATACAGCTCACTCTCACACAGCCACTCCACACACGTGCAGCTGTACCCTCCCACAGTCACACAGCTATGTGCACTACCACAGAGACACACATACGGCCATCCCCTCATACAGTCACACACACACACACACACACACACAAGGCAACGCTTGGTCCTTATTAGGAACTTTGGCTAACAGACCCCATGTGGTTTTCTTGCTCCGGGAGGCCCCCCAAGCCCTTGTTCACAATTCTCATTAACCCCCCCAATCCCAGGCCAGTAAGAGTAGGCCAGCAGCAAGGCACACATGAGATGCACTTGTGCATAGGTTTGCACGCATGAACAGCAGTGCAGGCCTCTGGCCTCAGCCGGCGGTGGGGTGCCAAGCAGAGACAGATGCGCACTCAGCAGACAGAAAGCAGGAAGTCTCTATGCACACTGAGCTTGTGGCAATGACCCAGCGCTTGTCCTGCCTGGAGAGAAAAGAATCACAGGAGCTTTCTGAACTTGCGCTGCTCTCTCTGCAGCTTCCTGGAACGGATCGACAGCGTCAGTCTGGTTGACTACACACCCACGGACCAGGTAAGGGCAGTCAGAGCTTGCCCCACTCTTTGGAAACACAGTGACTTACAGTTTGATTCAGCCATTGCTAAAAAGCCTGCAAGTCGCTGCCATACCCCACGTGTGTCCGGAGCATGTCAGCTCCCTGCCGGTGTCTGACACTGTCTAAGCCTGTGAGTCGCTAACTTGAAAAGTCCGTTACGTGCAGCCTGGGAATACGTGGTGCCCATGGCCTGTGGGAACTGCCCACTGGAAAGCTGAGCCTTCCCCAGCTGCATGAACCATGCCCATTCTGCATCTGGTCTCAGTGCTGGCCCCCCATGGAACATGCAAGCCACTTTCTGGGGTGCCCTAGAGTGACTAGGCTGAGTCACTGTGAAGCCAACCCCCCCACCCCCAATTTCACATTTATACGGAGCAGAGAGGGAGCTGCTGAGCTCGGATGTCTCACCCAACCCACTCACCCCCAACAAATGTTTCCAGGATGCACCCCTTGGAGGATGCTATGCCAGCCGTGGTAGCTTCCTTGATCCATTATGGGTGTCCCCGGCACTTATTATGCTCACATTAACGCAGAGAAGAGGACTTCCCCTTGCCTTCCAGGATTATAACTGTGTGGCTGCGTGGTGGACACCATTAAAGCATTCGATTGGCGTGGGAGGAGGGGGGAATCTGACACCTGTCCCACATGCCCAAGGTGTCAGATTTGTGGCTTCCTCATCCCCCTGGGAGCAGTCACATCTTCAATTCCAGAGAGAACCACAAGAGGCAGAGGAGAGGCGGGAAAAGTTAAAATTCACAGCTACCAGTCCGGGAGAGCAGCAACTGCTTAGTGCAGTCAGGTGTGTTCTGAGTGAGCCTTGCTTCCCAGCCCTTCGCAGGTCCTCACCCCAGAATACTAGGCACTGTGAGTCAGCTGTCAGGCAGCTGACAGCAAGATGCATTCTTTGATGATGATGACAGGGAGGAGGAGGAGGAAGAGGATGGTGATGATGATGGAGGATTCCCGTTGTTTGTTTTTCCTTACAAGGGAAGACAGTATCATTTGACAAAATGCAAAGCCTGTGTGGCTTCCCCAACACACACACACACACACACACACACACACACACACACACACACACACACACGAAGGCTGAGGATCTAACTCAGTTCGTTTCCCTCTTCTGGCCCCCAGGACCTCCTCAGATGCAGAGTTCTAACCTCGGGGATCTTCGAGACACGATTCCAAGTGGACAAAGTGAACTTTCAGTAAGTGTACACTTTCAGTAAGTGCAAGCGTGGCCCGCTTGCAGAGATGGTGGGCCCGGAGCCTTGAAGGGGCGGGGGCAGAGCCTTGAGGGGTGGGGGAGCCTAGTTCTGGCAAGGTTGTCATGGGCCTCTCCAGATGGGAAGATTCTAGAGGCTGTTTTTTTTTTTTTTATCACTCATCGCTAAAGTGGAAATGAGGGCCTGAATAGAAACCACAGTGTCCCTGCTAGCTCTCCATTTCATTGGCCTTTTAAATTTTTATTTTTATTTATTTATTTTTTTTAAGGATGAGACAGGCATGCCACATCCTGGTCTGCCTATCAAATGCCCTCAAGAGCCGTGGTGTTTTCCAAGCATTCACAAAGATGGGCACTGAGCCTTGTAGTTGAGATGCCAGCTAGGACATCTCTCCGTCCGCCTGTGTCAGAGACCCTGGCTTTGACTTTGGTAACGCCTAGATTCTGCCACCAGCTATTTCCAGCATTTGGAAAGTCAACCAGTGGATGGGGATGAAAAGTGTTCTTTAAAGCATTCGCTAAACACACCACACGTCACACCCAGTCCCTGGCAGTTGTCCTCTATGCATTGATGCAAAGCCTGAAAATAAGTCAATAGAGACCTTGGGGCTTGTGGGTTGCATACATGGGAGCTCAGAGGCCTGGTGAAGGGAGTGCAGGTAGATGCAGAATCCCCCTAAGGGCAGATGGCCCAGGAAGGGGGTACATGCAGCTATGAAAAGAGGGACTGGAACCAGCTTGTTGAGTCAAAGAAGTCCATGGGAAACCTGGGCATGGCCACGTTGGCTGTGCAAGATTGGGGGAACCTGAAGCTGGAGCCCAGAGGTCTTTCCCAAATTGGGAAGACAAGAAGAACCCATTGCAGCACCCCAGGGAGGTGTGTGGATGCAGACGGGCCGTGAGACCAGTTCCATAAGGGACTAGGTGCCTGAGTCACTAGAGATCAGGTACAGAGACCTGAAAACTGGAGTGAGGCATGGCCTTCACGCTGCCCCCACTGGAGACCTGTGTTGAACTCAGAGATGTTCCCATTACCTGAGCCAGACATGGCGCATGCCTTGGGTGCCCACTGCGTGTCTCAGACAACTTCTGTCACACCTGCACCCTATAAGATGACAGAGAAGGGGTAGAGTGTGGGAGGAGCTGTAACACCTGGAGCCCAAGATTGCACAGGACTGAGATTTGAGGCCCAGGGAAAAAATGGAGCCACGTGTGATGGGTTCGCATAACCATCTCCCTTTCACTCTTCCACAGCATGTTTGATGTCGGTGGCCAGCGGGATGAGAGGAGAAAATGGATCCAGTGCTTCAATGGTGATCTGATGCCCTTAGGACCACAGGGGTGATCGCTCACACTCACACTGCTCCTGGGTCTGCCCAGTTTTGAATTTGGCCTTCTCTAGCTCAACTAGTGTGCGGAGCAATGCAACTGATGGAAGATTACCAACGCCCCTTCCTAAACCTGTCCCATCGTGTTATATAGAGAGACTCCCTGTATAACTCAGGTTGCATCATTTACAGTAACTTGGGACCCAGGTCAATTCCCTTGAATAATCACAACGTTGAGAACACGGGTTGGAATCCCATACACAAAGCACCACAAACCCATAGTGGTTTGGTGGAGAGGGGAGCTCCTCATTGTGTTCATGTCACTGCAGAGTAATGTTGGAGACTTGCTCAACTCCCATCTCACCAGGGTGTTTCCTGTCTCCATCTCCAATTCAGATGTCACCGCCATCATTTACGTGGCCGCCTGTAGCAGCTACAACATGGTCATCCGGGAGGACAACAACACCAACAGGCTGAGGGAGTCCCTGGACCTTTTTGAAAGCATCTGGAACAACAGGTCACAAAACTCCCAAAGCCTCTGTTAGCTGGGGTGGGGGCGGAGAGGAGGGTTGCAGGTCTTGTTTCCTGAAGGATGGTTTCTGCAGGCAACTTTCATGTTCTCTCCTTCCTGACCATTAGCTCATCCAGTGTCCAGACATCCTTCAGATGGGGAGTATTCCTCCACAGAGCCCTGATATGGCTAGCAGAAGATATGTCAATCCATTGGAAAGGCGGATATACAGAGAGAGGAGAGACAGAGAGGAAGATCTTCCCCGATGATTCATAGTGAGCGCAACGGGCCGGCTAGCAGAAGGATCGACTGTCAAGCTCTGATTTTTTAAACACTTTCTGTCAATCCTGGGGTTCAAAATGGATTAGGTTTGGTTTTTCAAAGCCTCCTACTTCAGGGCTTCTGGGAATACCTTACGTGATCCCTAAGAGACCCTTATGGAGCAGTGGCACCCACAACTATATCAGAGTGCCTGCCTTTGGGTGCCAACTCCACTTCCAATTCCAGCTTTCTGCAAATGCACACCATGGGAGGCAGAAAATGATGGCAGAGTAGTTGGGTCCCTACCACCCAAACAGTAGACCCAGATGGAGCTTCGGACTCCTAGCTTTACCCAGTCTAATTCTAGCTGTTTTAAGCATTTCATAATTGAGCCAGCAATGGGAGATTACTCTCTCTCTCAAAATAACTTAAATAATTTTTAAGTAATTTATTTGAAAGACAGAATTACAAAAGAGAATAGAAGACATCTTGCTGGTTCATTTCCCAAATGACCGCAACAGCCCAAACCAGGTACCTCGTTCAAGTCTCCCACATGGGTGGCAGAGGCCCAAGTATTTGTGACATCTTCCACTGCTTTCCCAGGCACATTAGCGGGGAACTGGATGGGAAGCAGAGCAACTGGGATTTGAACCAGCACTCTGATACAGGATGCCCGCCATTGCGGGTGGCAACTTAACTTGATGTGCCACTTGATGTGCCTGGCTCCTGGCTCCACTTCCGATTCCAGCTCCCTGCTGATGCGCACCCTAGAGGTACCACGTGGGTCCCACATGAGACCTGGAAGGAGAGCCAGGCTCCTGGTTTCTGTCCCCAGCTGGTGGGGGCATCAGGGATGTGCACCAACAGAGAGGAGCTCTTTCTCTTTCTCTCTCTCTCTCATCACAAGTATTTTTTTTAATCCAAGTATTTTTATTATAGAACCAAATTTTAGCTTTGGAGCTAATAGCTGTGTATCCCCAGTGGAAATGAGTTCTAAAAGACGCAACTGCCAGCTAACTTCCTGCACCTGCTCATCATCGCTTACGGAGACACTGTGAATATAGGTCCATCAGCCACTGTGGAATCCTGTGTCTCTCCAGAAAGAAGACAACATTCCCCCTTTTAATTTTGCAGCTCCTACGTTAGGGCACTGATGGATGCCAGCGTGTGTGAAATGCGCATTTTTTCTTTCTCCCTTTTTCAGGTGGTTACGGACCATTTCTATCATCTTATTCTTGAACAAACAGGATATGCTGGCAGAGAAAGTCTTGGCAGGGAAGTCAAAAATTGAAGACTACTTCCCAGAGTATGCAAATTATACTGTTCCCGAAGATGGTGAGACTTTAAAACTTTGTTCTGGAGCAGAGAGAACTAATACTTTCTTAAGAGCTCTGTGACTGTAATTCATATACCTCTAAAGGATCAAAGATAAACCATTAGTTGGAATCAACCCTCCCTCCAACTGCCCCATTTAATAGGTTGCTGGTGGTCCCTTTTCTTGAAACACTTGGAACCAGAAATGTTATTTATTTTGGAAGGCTTTTTTTATTATTATTATTTTGCAGTATTGGCATACACATAATGTGCCACCCTGAGCATGGAACCCAAGTCTAAACAGGAAATCCACTTGTGTTTCCTATACTGCTCGCACCTAGAGCCTCGGGTGATCTTGTGTAATGCTGTTATGTACCCACGTGCTGCCCGTGACCCTGTCTCCCGAGGTCAGCTGGGGAATTCTCCGTGTACACTGTCATGTCAGAGCTCCGAACACTGAGATTCGTTTGCATGTTCAGAGCTCAGAGTTTTTGCAATGGAGATGCTCCACCTGTTTTAAATGTCCTGTTGGGGGCTCCGCTTGTCAATGTCTTAAGAGTTCCCATTCAGACTGCCACAGAAGAAGGCGTGACCAGGGTGCTGCTGCCAGGCTGAGCCTCTGATTAACCTCCCGTGACACGGCCTTGCTAGCTCCTCCAAAAGGCTGTCCCACGTGGATCTTCCAAAACTCTGTTGGAAATGCATATTATGAAAAGGGTATGCATGAACCTCACGTTGGTTTGCACCAAAATAAACATCTTTTCATTTTGTTTTTCCACAAGCTTTTTGAAGCATCCTCATGTCTGGTACTTCCTTTGCCACAGATTTTTGGAAGTAGCTTGCAGGTACAACATAGTATATTTCAACCCTCAGGAAAGGCCCATGCCCAGAGCCTACCCCAATGGATGCCATGCAGCTGCAGGGGTGGGGAACCACCACCCCAGCACACACCCCAGGCTGAGTACCACAGGGGGCGTCATGCCCCTCCTTACCCATCTTCAGGCCTGCCTGGTACCTGCCTTTGGCCCAACACAGCAGTGTCCGAGTCAAGCCTCCGCTCCCGAGTCTCCACAGATCCTATTGCTGAGAAAGCAGTGGGATAATACTCAGGTGGGCTGCCTAGAACATAGGACCCCAGACTCCATGAGGTCATGGAAAGCAGTGGGGTTATCCCAAGAATTGGACTCTGTGAAGGAGGACCCAGAATCCCAATGATCCACACCAGGTTGATTTCTGTTGCGATTTCAAATAAAGTATGTGCCACAGGATCAGAGAGGGGTAGTCTTGATAGGAGCCAGGCAGTAGAGAGCTCACAGCTCTGCCCACTTGAACCCTGCCCTCTCTCCTGCCTTCCAAGCTCGCCAAGGACAGCCTTTAAGAAGTTTTGCTCCCACCTGGCTCACTCTGCTCCAGCTGCTGTAACCAAATGCCCCAGATGGGGTCACGTGGCAGCAACAGGGGGGTGTGGCTCACCACCTGCAACCTGAGAAGATCCTGCTGAGGATGCTGGCAGCCCTAGTCTTGTTCTCACATGGACAAAGGAGCAGACAAGCTCCCTGGGGGCCACTGCTATAGTTAGGACATTGCTAATGAGGACATTGCTATAGTTAGGACAGGATTTGCTCCCCACCTCAGGCATAGGTGTAAAACCCCAAATTCAGGGACCGCTGGTGCTAACAGGGTGAAGCCTTGATCCAGGTAAGGACTCTGGGGAGTGCAATCTTTAGGTCACTGGGGGCTTGCCTTCTTTCTCTCTCTCTCCCCTCCCCCCTCCTTTCTGGACCAGCAGAGGTTCTTTCCTCTGCCACTGCTAGCCTCCAGCCCATCAGATCCCATACAAATCGGGCCATCCAGCCTCGCTCCGGCCTCTGCCCGTGAGCATCCAAAGCTTGAGCTGGGATGGGGCTCCCTCCTTCCTTGAGCAGTTTCTCGCAGGTGTTGTCATGAGAAGCCACCCACCTTGGGTCCCAACCAGTGGCTGCAGGCAGAGTTCCCACAACCTAGTGGCTCCCCCAGTTCTATTGCACTGGAACTTATGTTTCCACGCAGGAATTGTGGGACCACATGAAGTATGTGCCCCAATGAACAGTGTCACTGGAGCTGTAGCCATCTAAATGACGGGAGAGCAGGGAGGAAGTGTGCCATACGCAGCCAGCGCCCCTCTGTCATCCCCTCTGGGTTCCGCCTGGCACTACCACCTGTTCAGGTCACTAACAGACACTTCTGTGATTTCAGCAACACCGGATGCAGGAGAAGACCCCAAAGTGACAAGAGCCAAGTTCTTCATCCGAGATCTCTTCTTGGTAAGTATTCCCATTAACCTTGGTTTTCCCTGCCACCACGAGTTAACGCTGTTCTGTATAGTTTGCAAACTACTTAATCCCTTTCTGATTACATTTCTTTTTTTGCTTACCCAAAACCATGGATGGTGAGAGAGTGGAAGGGGTTGTAGCCTACATGGCAGAGCTGAGCCCACTAGAGTTCAGGGAAGCCCAGCATCTCCCACCCAGAGTCCCACAGCTTCCTGGCAACAGCGTCAGAGCAGGCTCACAGCTCCCTGGGAAACGGAGCCCAGGGGTGCTCCTGGACGCCATCCTGGGGCTGCGTTTCTGTGTAACCAGCACTCAGCCCTCGTCCTCCATCCAAAGGAGCTGCAGGCTAAAGCCAAAGATGGACAGGAACCAATCAAATTCAGACATTTCTTTTTTTTTTTTTCCCCTCCATCTTTTTCTTTTGACATCGTTGCAAGCTTACATAAGAAGTGAAAGAATTATTCACATAGTTCTTACAGGATCTAACCAACCGGTAAAACGTCACCTCTTGCTTCTAGCTGATTGCTTTTACTAGCTTGAAGCTGGTCAATGCCAAGGCACTCGCAAGGGCATGTTCCCATGTGTGGGCAGTTACTGACATCCAAAGAAACAGGAGCCCTGGCTGCCTGAGCCAAGGCCCCCAGGCTTGGTAGCCTATCACAGGAAAGGGACTTTACCCCTTCCCATAGCAGCTAGCCTGGTGGCACCCTCTGAACACCAGGGGGAGCTAGAGGGTGATGATGACCAACCCCAGCCCTGGTGCCACACAGAGCAGCTGGGGCACTCGGGTGGGGGTGTGCCTGTGGGGCCTGCCACCCTGCCATAGAGTCTCAGGGCCAGCGTGCACTGAGGAGTTCTCCAGCCAGGAATTCAGCCCTTTTGAATTAAAGTGTATTTTTATTTGAAAAGCAGAGTTACAGAGAGAGAAGGAGAGACAGATCTCCTATCCACTGAGCCTTTCTCCAAATGACTGCAATGAGCAATGCTGGGCCTGTGTCCGTAGCCAGGAGTTTCTTCTGGAGCTCTCATGTGGGCACAGGGACCCAAGGATGTGTGGACCATCCTTATTTTTTTTTCCCAGGTGCATTACCAGGGAGCTGGATTGGAAGTAAAACAGCCAGGACTCAAACAGGCACCCGTATGGGATGCCGGCACCACAGGCGGAAGCTTAACTTACTATGCCACTGCACAGGCTCCCTGAAACCCCCTTTTTGAAGAGCATCTTATAAGACCATAAAGTAGAAAGCCACGCAACCAGTATCCCACAGTCTGCTCTTCTAATGAGGACTACAAGTTGACCAGGACCAGGAACTGGGTATTTGGATGCAGGGTAGGAGCAGACCTGTCCGAGACAAACCCAGACCTGCAACAGGCCTCTTCTTACTCTCCACCAGTAGACCAAAGCTGGCCCAGGGGCGATGAGAGCCTGAGACCGGTTGAGCGCAGAGACAGCCCCTAACCAGGTTGCATCTCTATGTTCGATCAGCTCAGGCGTGAACCCTGGGAGACAGGTGGTGGTGGAGACCATGGCAACAGAGGGCCTGGGAAGAAAGCTCCTTAAAGGAGAAGGGACCCAGGAGGCCCTCTTGGAGGAGGGGAGAAGGCACAGGGAGAAGAGCTCTGCTTAGAAGAGGCTGCCGGTTGTCTGTGGCCTCCCGCCTAAGTACACGGCCTCTGGACCTCCGTGCGTGGGAGGCTAGAGCCCAGTAGAATGGACGACAGGGGCAACCAGGAGTGTGCTGAAAGCCCCCAGGACACTAGGTCCCATCGGTCACCCTGAACAGCCCTGGCCTCCCAAACTGGCTGCTCCAGACCCGGGAGAGCCAAGGATGGTGACTAAGCGGGGGAGAGAGGTACCTGGCATTCTTGAGATACCTGTCTCCTGGGCCACTGAGCATCGCCTGAGCTCACCATGCTGTTACCGCCTGGGGCAGAGCCCAAGGGAGCTGGGCGACAGCCAGGGGTCCAGGCCCTAGGGTGGAGTCCAACACAGCCTAGTCTTATCTTTCTTTATCTTTGTTCAGGAAAGCCATAGGAGTGTCTGGGAAAGGGAGGAACCTGCCCTTTAGGACCTGCAGCAGCCTTGTCACACGTCCATGTCAGGGGCCAAACCAGCTGCCCCAGGCAAGGACAAACCAGACTGATTATGACAGAAGCAAATCTATTTCCTACTCCATTAACCACAAACTCACTGTGCCTGCATGCCCAATAGCTCACATGGTGTTTAGGATTGAAAAGATTTATAACCCCCTGCTGCCAGGAGGCCAGAATTTAAAACAAACTTGTAAGTGCTAAGGGAACTCCAACTGTTGCTAAGAATCAGTGGGAGAATCTATGAGGGATCCGCTGGCTATAAAACCTGGGCCTGGACCCTGTGTCTCCATCACAATGCTTTCCTAGGAAGCTTGGCAGGCACAGAGAGCTGAGGAGGAAGTGCCTGGCATCGGGAGCTTGCTCCCCAAGAGGCTCCGCGGCCCCACGTTCACCTGCCCAGGTGGGATGCTTTTCTAGCGGCAGCACCTGCTCGCCCCTGGACTGTGTGTCCTCCACAGCTGCTTCCCCTACAAGGACACCAGCCTGGGCTGGGGCCCAGCCACATGACCTCACTATACCTCAGTCACCTCCTGTGCACTCTATCTCCTTAGACAGTTCAGGGAACACTGTGCCACTGCTGTCTTCTGGGTTTAGATTATTTGTTATCTATCTAGAAAGAGCTCCCAGTTGCTGGATCATACCCCTCAATGCCTGCCCACAGCCACTTCGTGTGCCACAGGGTCGGCAAGTCCATCAGCTTTTGGGGAACTCTCCTATGTGGGTTGCAAAAGTTGCTTTGAGCCAAAATCAACTTAGGCTTAATTCCATTTGCCACAAACTCTGAGGGCGCTTTTACGCGCTGCCTCCCAGCTCTGCTCGGAGCTGCACCGGGCTGTGGGTTGTGTGGTGCCCAGCAGCGTGCCCAGAATGCAATTGGCACTGCCGCAGGTTCCCAGCAGCCATCCAGCTGTTGCCACAGCCCTCTGGCCTTTGCACGAAGCACTGCTTGCCCAAGGGCCATCCCGGAGAGGGTCAGGGCTGTGTGGTCCTCAGCGGGGACACTCTGTGTGTATCTCTTGTAGAGAATCAGCACGGCCACGGGTGACGGCAAACACTACTGCTACCCTCACTTCACCTGTGCCGTGGACACGGAGAACATCCGCAGGGTGTTCAACGACTGCCGCGACATCATCCAACGGATGCACCTTAAGCAGTACGAACTCCTGTGAGGAGGGGCTGCTGCCTGCCCGCCTCCCGCCGCCCCCACCCCCGCTCCCTCACACCCCGCAGGTGGAAGCTTCTCCAGCCCCCATGCCCGCGGTAGGACATCATTTCTAGTTTGCACCTGGCGGCATCTGTCCCCTCCTGGATACAACCCCACGTGCAACCACCAAGCCTCCGGCTACCTCTGACCCACCCCAGGTTTGGCTCTGCAGCTTCCTGTTCTAACGGAGCACAACCTCCCGCAGGCTCCCGACGGCCTCGTCCATGTGTGTCACTCTCCTGGGAGCTGACAATACAGTGACATCTCTCTGGGTGGGGGCCCGGGATACTCAATTGTCCCTTTATCCATCAGCAAAAAAAGGCTTAGCTTGCTAGACAGGGAACTTATCAAGTTATCAAGCAGGAATGCAGACGTGTGTGCTCTATCCTGCCACCTTAGGAAGCTGCAGGGTGGCAGGTGGCCGGTCCTTCCCAGCTGTCCCATGCCCAGGACAAGGACAGACCCCCCCCCTTCCATTGCGCTGCCTGCCTGTCACAGGCATTGCAATCATAACCACCTGAGGCCTTGTCCATTTCGGCAGAAAATTGGCCACACTTCTTGCAAAAAAAAAAAAAACGTGTCCCCGTCTACCAATGATTTTCTACACCCCCATGAAATGTGGGTGCAGCCTTTTGGCCTCTTTCCTTTTGTTGCTGGTTCTTAACACTGTACAGACCCTCCCCCCCCCAAGATGTAACATTCTTTTGTATCACAACTAAAGCAAAGCTCCTCGTAGACTGGTGTGCCTTGACTCGGCTACCCCTGTGGACAAAATGTGGTTGTTCTCATAGTGCTCAATGTTACCTGCTGTTGACTCTGAAAAGGGGGCTGGATGGCTGCTGCAGAATTCGGGGTACTTTTATCACGTGGTACTTTATCCAGTACTTCTCTGTAAGAGAGTGGCAGCAACGGTCTGATGCCAGTACAGGTCCTGCAGCCACCTGCTCACTTCCCTGTGCTTCAGCCTGAACCCAGTTCAACGGGAGAAATTGACATCTCCGACCCCACTGACAGCTGTCTAGGGAATTTCTTTCTTGCTTACGTTGCTGGTTAAAGACTGCAGAGGGCCCAGGCGTCCATTCCCTGTCACAGCCTGGAACAGACACCACCCCACGCACGTCAGACATCGGCGTGGGGTCAACAGGTGCACTCAACCCTGGGGCACAAGGAGGACAGTATCTCCCTCGGTCATGGACTGAAATATGCACCCAAAACTCCTGGCTGTCTCTCCCCCTTGTAGGATTTGCAAATGCAACCTCAGAAGTTAGGTACAGCTGGACCACAGCCACAGCTTTCAGAATAGTTTCCTCCGATCTAAAGATGTCCAAAGTGAAACGCTTAAAACAAATGCAGAAAATCACTCCATGAATCTTCTTATAATGTTTAGTACTTTCAAGTGCGCTCTGTGAGTCAGCATTCCCTAATCCATTAGAAATTCAGACTTCAACACCACTTTTTCCACAAAAGGATAACTTTTTAAGCAGCCGGTGCCACATATGCGCTGTGTCACTATGTCTTCCGTCTCCCTATACTTCCAAAGCAACCCAAGCTGCATCTCCACCCAAAAACTAAAGTTACCCGCTGCCGTTATGCAAAATTAGTTAATTCTCTAGGCATCCCATTTAAAAGATTGAGTTTTTTTTAAGGACAAGGAGGAGAACCAGACTCGGGGGTGGGGTGAGGGGGATGAAAAAGGAAGGAAGACCCATTTTCTTCTCCACGTCGCGACTGTCTTGCATTCGCTGAAAGGCATTCTATGCAGATACAACAAGTAGCCTTCTGGAGAGAAAGCGGGGCTTCTCTTAAGAATCGCACTTGCATCAGGAGACAAGTCCGTGAAGACCAAGATGTCACTGCGTGTTGCGCCGTGCTTCCAAGCGTTCTGCCTCCCCCGTCTGCAGCAGGTTGAGAACCAAGCCTGGGAGATGGGTGCACATGAGCCCCACGTGTGCCATCTGGGCGCTCCCGGGGAAGCAAGGACTGCGTGACTGTCTTGTGCATGCGAGTGATAGTGTCAGTAGCATCTACAAACTGTACAAAAGCAACTTTGATAAAAAAAAAAAAAAGACAAAAAACCAGGAAGCGGATCTGTTGTAAAGTACATGTCTCATTTTGCTAGCATGAGACTAGTACAGCCGTTTATTCTACAGCCACTCGCGTCAGTGACCTGGGACATCCGCAGCATGCGCCAACGAGGCCCCATGCTGGATGGTCACTGTCCACTCGACTCTTAACGTGAGCTCTGGAGGAAGGTGGCTTCCTTTGGCTGTGACACTGATGACCAGATGCAAAGACTGCCTCCTCCCTGTCACCGTATCGTGGGCAATCGGAACAGGTACCCACCGAAAAGAAAAGGTGGGGCTAAAAGCTGAAAGTGGATCAAGATGAGGAGCACAAGGAGGCTGGCTACTCCGCAGTAGATGGCCAGAACCGTGTCCTCAAATGGCAGGTAGCACTTGGCGAGGGCATAATCCGCGGCTGTTATGCTGCCCTGGAAGAGAAATGAGAGAAGCTTCTACCACAGCTGGAGCCACCCATCTAGCTGGGACAGAGCAGCAAGGAGAGGTGTCAAGGCCTTCAGCCTGTGCCAGTCAACACACGGTGAGCCAAAGAAGAGAAGTCCAGGCCACGGGTGCCTGGGGATCAAGTCTGGGACACTGACCTCACCGTGTAAAGCAGCCCTGGGCACAGGAGGGTGGGGGCACGCCTGGCAGAGATGCCGAGGGCACCGTGCAGACCGAGAATCGATGAAACATGCCACCTTAGAAGCGCACGTGCCCAGAACACCTCTGAAGTGTGGCACGATTTGGTGGGTGGGGGAGATGACAACTCATTTACCCTGAATCTCAAAACACTAGGGTTTCCCCCTCCTTTTCATGGAGCAATTGGCAAAATGACCAAAGAAAGGAGCTGATGGTGTAATGAAATAATGTCTTGAACCCATGTGCAAACACTGCAGTGCCGGCACTGTCCACCAGGGCGACTGGGCATTTCTGGAAACTTCAGAGGTTAGTTAATGCGTAAGTGACTCTGTCTCCTTAGGATATGAAACACACATGCACCCTCCTCGAGGGATGAGACCACCCCACCCCACCCCAGGGACTGTGCGCTGTTCATCTCTTTAGGGAGGGGGTGAGGAGCGTGCGAGGGATGAAATGTAACGTACGGCTTTTGTATATTTTTACTGAACGGTAGTTAACTTCATGGCGGAGTACTGTGTCAAGTTCAATACTTAGGAAGGCTTTCCAACAAATAAAAACTTCAACGTTCACGTTACCATGATGAAACTGGGGTTGTTTCTGTTCCTCCAACTGAAAGACGGGACGCTGATCTCGGGGACGCCTCCCGGGTGCAGCACCTCGCAGGCACTGTGCGTGTGGCCGCTCAGGATCAGGCGTGGCCGGAGCCACCAGAGCAGCTGTGGTGACAAGAGGCAGCCATGAGTGCCTGGACCCCATGGACCACCCTTTCCGCTGCAGGACATGATCCTCTAGTTGGCACTTCCGTCACAGAATCAAAGACAGCCTGCTAGGTAGGGCTGCCTTGTTGCTGAGCACAGATTTTCACGCTAACTCAAACGTAGCTTCCTCCCCTCACAGGTGGGTCTTCCCCACCTATTTCAAACATTTCATTCATTTTGTAAGTAGGCTCCAGCGACAAGTTTCCGTTCTAGCATATATTAAATTAATATATCTATGAAGGGATGTTAGGCAGTCAGTAGAAAATGGAATTATAAGCTCATGGGGGGAAGGGTGTGGCCTGAGGCTACATTCCACATTCCACCATCAGGTTCCTGCTCCTGGGAGGCAGCGGTGACAGTTTGGTGACAGTTTGGTCCTCCTTGGTCCTCCGTCCCTGCCACCCAGTGGGGCACCTGTATTGAATTCCTCGCCCCCAGCTTCAGCACAGCCATTGTAGGCATTTGGGGAGTGAGCCAGGAGATGGGAGGGCTCTCCGTCCAGTTTATTTTGGTATTAAAAAAAAAAAATCTAAGATCTATGCATAGCTTTTTCATAATAGCCTTTTTATGGACTTTGAAGACCCTCCTGGGCATCGATTTCAATTTTTTTTTTCTTTTGCACCAGAATAAACTTACAATGAATCCTATTTTTTCATGAGCTTGTTGATATATCTTCATATATCTCAGCAATACATATATTTAAGAATGTGCACTAAGTTTAGCTAAGTCTTTAAAAATACAAGTCATTCATCTCTCCAAACACATTTGAAATTGATAAGAAAGCTCTGAGTGTGATACCCAGTGGAGAATATTAGAGAATTAGCGAATATTAGAGACTGTGAATTGGGAAGTAGGTTTACTGGGGTAAAAAGAAAGAAACAAAGGGATGAAATGGAAATCTGACATGCTCTCCAGACCTCCCCCCAGCCTCCACTGATAACTGCAGTCACACACACGCGTGTGTGTGTGTGTGTGTGTGTGTGTGTGTGTGTGTGTGTGTGTGTTATGCCTGGGCAGCCACCTGACCTTTATGAATTAAGATGCTCACACTGCAGGACCTGGCTTCAACTCCCAGCGCCAGCCCAACTGCAGCTTCGCAGACCCAGGGGAGCAGAGTCATGGCTGTAGTGATTGGGGTCCCCCCACCCAGCCAGGTGGGAGACAGGGATCAAGTGTCTGGTTCCCAGCTTGGTCTTGGCCAGGGAAGCGGCCACTGCGGGCACTGCGGGCACTGGGGAAGGACACAGCATATGGAAACTATCTCTCAAAGAAATAAAAATAAAAAACCTGCCATCGATGGTGCAGGTGCAGGGTACAACCATCCCCACCCATGCTGCCCGTGAAGCAGAAAGGACAGGAGCGGGCCCCCCGGACAGGTGGTCACAGCACGGACAAACCTTCTGAGACGCCTCCTGAGAAAGCACATCGTACTTCTCCTTGAACGGGATGCTCTTCTCCTCTGGGGGGGCCGCGTCTTCCCCGGAACAGTTAGCATCACTTTTCCGATACAGTGGGTAATGCTGGCAGGGATTGTAAGAGCGGTCAGGGGGTACCCTGGGCTTGCAGCTGCTCCCCATCCCCCGCCCCCTGGCTCACCTGCAGGAGGATGGGGGCAGACGCAGGGAGCAGCTCCTCCACTCCACACTGGCTGGCACTACGTCCCTGCTGTTGGGAAGCCAGCCCTTAATGCGGCATACCTGACACGCACCACGCACTGGGAAGGGAAGCCGGGGGGCTGGGTGACCAACAGCACAAGCTGTTAGGAATCCACGGAGCAGGAGGCTGCTGTGGCTGTAGGTCGCCGCCTACCTGTCGGGAGCAATTCAGTCGGCGGGAAATCTCCGTCAGCTCCTCCTCGGCCTCAGAGCAGATGCTGCAGCCATCCCCTTCCAGGGCCACGCTGTTGACCATCACGAAACTGCAACAGGTGGAAGCAGGCAGAAGGTGGGCCCAGTGCTCACTGCGTGGGCTACTGCCTTCTCTCCCTTCCACCCATGCAAAGAGGACTTGGGGAGCACGGTATGAAGACAGGGGAGTCCAGAACACTCTGAAATCCCAGCTAGATTAAGGTTGTGTTCCGTGAGTCACTGTTAACGACACACAAGTAGGCCAAGGCATGGAAAAGGATTTTTAACCTTAAACCTGGGACAAGACCCGTGACAGCAGCTCTGAGGCTGGTCGGCCCCCTTGGCTCAGCATCTGAGCAGACCATGTGTCCTAAGGTAGATTCTGAGCTTGCTGTGCCTCGTCTGAAGGGCCTATGCACCGCAGCTGGGCAAAGGGGGGACTTGATGAAATGAACCAGCAGGTGCACGGACAGGAGCCTGCTGCTAGAAAGTACTCGGTGTTATCCCTCCACAAAGTCGACCACTAATGGCAGGGATGTTCTGGAGGTAAGGCAGCAGGTAAAGTACTGGTTAGGCTAACTGGGTACATACTCCTCCCCCCCAAAAAAAACAAGTGTAGTGACAACACCAAGTGACAGGTGTCTTCTGCAAGCCCCTTTACCTTAGCTGGATCTCATTGACTCACCCTAAGATGTCTTTCGTCCTTGAACCCAGAAGGGGCACCTGGCTGGAAACACTGCCTAAGATTTCAGCAGTTTCAAAGACAAAGAGCTGAGCAAGGGATCGGAATATGGTCAGTGCGCCTGGAGTCTGACGCACTCTCTTCCGTCTGTTATCGTCTGTTACGACTTGGCAAAGAGATCTGCCAGTCGGGGACTCCACCCTGCAGGCTGAGGCAGGCAAAGGCTTCCTGGTGTCTTCCAGAGGGTGTATCAGCCAGCCCCAGAGCCACACCTGGGAGGTGACTCAGGCGGAAGGAGATGACTAACTCTAAGTTTTCTCTCCTGCATTCCTCCCACCTCCATCTCATCCCTGGCACCCCACCAGTGCAAACAGGATATGCACACAGTCTGGCCCAGTGAGACTCCAGACACGGCCGCCATAGTGGCCTCAATGAAGGGGAGCCCACGGTCAGACCAAGGATAAGGAGGCTCCGGCCTAATGCGAGGCTGATGGGATAGGGGTGCCACAGAGCCTCAGGAACACCCCACACATCTGCCACCTATATCAGGGCACTATCACTATGGAAACACCTTTATAAAGCAAAACTAGGGCACTTCAATCAAGTGTATTAAAAAAAAAAAAAGAAAAGAAAACCTTGTTTTACAGAATGTGTCCCTACCCCACAGCCAGTGCAGAAATAAGAACCAGGCACAGGGCAGGCAGCAGTGTTCACTACCGGAGGCCCTCGAGCTCAGAAGGAAAAGCGGGGCGCTTGCAGGCTTCCCCCTTATCGACTTTCACATGACTGTCAGCAAGGGCAGCCCGAGGCGCAGCAGTCAGATGCCGAGCCCGGCCACAGGGGATGTAACTCAAAGCAGGTACACCTGTCACGCTCCAGAACTGAAGTTCAAACATGGCCATAGAATCTCACAAGGAATACTCACTTAATTCCTTTCCAAGAAAACAGCTTCTCACAGTTCAAATCTCTCTCAAATCGTCTTACTTTGTATCTGTTCATCCTATATTAGTTGGGGAAAAGAAACATCTTTCAGATCAATCTGTCTTAGAACTTCGCAGCTTCTGGCCACCACAGAGAGGGAGCAGAGCGCCCAGATCTGAGTGCCACGCTGCCACTCTCAGCTGCGGCTTGCACTGCTACAGCGCCACCACCCTGCTGGAGGCCAGGGGCAAGTTCCTTGACTCCCCCAGGGACTGCAGGGCCCTCAGTGGCACTGCAGGGTAAAACAATTGGACCTTGAGGGGTCAGTGTTCCCCACAGCACATCAAGTCACTGCTTGCTGAGGACCAGTTGAGTGCCAGCTGCTCCACTTCCGATCCAGCTTCCTGCTGAAGCACCTGGGAGCCCAGGACGGGGTTCCTAGCTCCTGCCTTTGACCCAGACCTAGCTGTTGCCAGGGACTGATAAGTAAATGGAAGATAATCTCTCTAGAATAGATACACAGGTATCACTCGCGCGATCATTTTGCCTTTAGACAAATGCTTTTTCACAAAAAACCATGCGCCCAAAAGGAGTTTCTTGACTATGCGTACTATGTGCCAATATTAAAAATCCCTGAGTTGCTTACATGTCCTTTTAAAGATAACAGATTTCCTCCATTGAGAACAAGCCAAGCTATCACTTAACAGGTTGAGCATACTAGCTAAGGAGACTCTCAGGGCACACTGCAGTGGTGACCCACTTACCTGTAGTGGAAGCCAATATCATGGTTGCCAGCCACGACCTTCAGCTGCACGTGACTTGGATGTCTGAACATTTTCTGAAAGCGCTCCACATCATGTGCCCAGGCCTGGGAGGGAACAGGGTCACTGCTGACAGCCTGGACACACTCTCCTGTGACCAGCAAACAGGACCTCTCTTTGGATTTCAGAGGCTGATTCCCTGGTCCAAACCAGGTGCTCCCGGAGCTAATGCAGACTTTGAAGTCCTATGCGGTTCTTACTTTTCTAAGACTACAGATAACACTTTACATGATTTCATCTGACGCCAAATGTAACTCAACAGTACCTTCCCCCATCTTAAAACATTAACTGGCAGTCCCTCAAGACGTCTGGTCCATGTCCCTATCATCGCAGGGTCCCCTGAAAAGGACGCGGGGACCCCAGGTTAGGAACTGGATCAGATATAGCAGGCCCTTAGAAAACGCCCAGTGTGTCTGAACCAAGCCAAGGATGCAAGCATCCTTCAGCATCCCCCTGTGGGTCCATCGGCAGGGATGAGAACTAATAAGGTGAGAGAAAAAGCATTCATTATACAAAATACAGTAAATATCTCACAATTCTCCTGATATCTGTTTTAACCATTACAGCTTCAGAGTTGTGTTAGTATCATTGTTTCAGCCTAAAAAATATCAACTGGATAAACTCCCTGGATGGCAGAAGACCTCTGCTCTGGATAGTAGATCAAATTCATCCTCAAAATTTTAGCACAACCTGGGAAAATATGACTCGTTCGTAAAGGTCCCAATTAAACGATACTTAAAGCTAGAATAACAAAACCAAAATCACAAACTTTGAAACTCATAAAGTGTCATCCTTAGCTTGCCAGAGCAACCAGATATATCCAACTATACATTTAAGGTAGCTGCTGGGACTGGCAGTGCCCATACGAGTGCCAGCTCAGGTGAGCTGCTCCACTTGTGAGTGCAGCTCTCTGCTGTGTCCGGGGAAGGCAGCAGAAGATGAGCCAAATGCTTGAGTTTCTGCCACCCACACAGGAGACCCCGATGGAGTTCCAAGCTCCAGGCTTCAGCCTGGCAGTGGTCTGACCATGACAATCATTTGGAAGACTCATTCTCTCAATTTCTTTCTCCTCTCCCTTCTCCACTTCCTGCCTGTGTCTGTTTATCCTCCCTCTGTAACTCAAACACACAAAATGCCCCAACTAGAGGCAACTGTATAGGTTGCCTTGTAAAACCTAGACAAGTTTTATACTGCTGGGAGAAAAGCAGCCAGTAGCTAGCAGGCATTCTGGGCCTGGTTAATGCCAAATCTGTATTAACTATACCAGAATGCCAGCATGGTTGCCCTATTCTCCTTCTCCTCCTCCTTTTCTTTTTAAAGGTAAGTGGGGGAGGCAGGTACTCTGGGCCAGGACAGAGCAGCCTGGCCCCCAGAGTCTGCGGATGTATTGGAGTGCAAGTAGCTGAACGCATGCTGGACAGGAAAGAGATGATTTCTGGGGGTCTTCCACAGACTGGGCCACTGCCCTTGCAGGTAGGCAAGCGAGCTGAGATGCAGTGGTTTCAAGGGAGGAAACCGGAGGGCATGTATGGGTCAGGCCAAGGCATCTGCCCATGTAGGAGACCAGGGCTGGGCTAAATAGCATCAATCCCACCCATCGGTGCTTGACAAAGCTGGAACTAGGCTGAGCTAAGTTGCAGCACCTGCTGGCAAATGCCAAGACTAGGAACATGCCATCTCAGACTGGTGCTTCTACTGGTGAGCTGGGGCTGGGGACAGTATGGTCTGGGTGCAGGTCAGGCTGAGCTAGGCTGCTGTACCTGCTTGCCAAAATGAGAGCCAGAATGGGTGCAGGCCAGCTGGGCTAGGCACAACACCAGCTGGCAAGTGCCAGGACTGGATATGTTAAGCTTGAACACAAAATCCCCTGGCAGGCCTAAGATCAGGGTTGGGAACAAGCTTGGCAGGGCAACTCTGGGCACTCCCTTGTTAGGCTGTACCTATCACTTATGAGCACAAGAACCAAGGCTGGCAGTGGGCCAGATAGGACAAGGCAGCAGCGCCTGTCAGCAATGTGATAGCCCAGTCTGGGGGCAGGTCAGGCTGAGCTTAGCCACCCACAGGTGTGCACAAGAGGCAGATGGGTTGTGGGCTGCACCAGGTGAGGCCACAGCAGAGGTAGATAAGGACAGAAACCAGCACTGAGAACGGCCCTGGTGACTACTAAGGGTTGCCCTAACTAGGCCACAGCACCCACTGGTATACAAGAGGACTGCATCTGTGGTAGGCTGGCTGGGCTGAGCCACAGCACCTCTCATCTCATGTAAGACATTGGGCTGCAGTGGAACTAAGCAGGCAGCTGCACACACCAGTTTGTGCACTGGCTGGTGCAGGGGATGGGCCAAACCTGAGCCCACACTGGCTGGAGCACAGAAAAGTTGAATCTGAGGTCACCCCAGGTGAGGTTTCTTGGGGGATTACCCAACTGCACTGCGGGACTTGGACCCTGACCACAGGGAATATCACAGGGTGTGGTCCGACCTTGGAGTACATGTGTCAAGGACAGACCTCCTCAGCCCCTGCTGCTGGTGTGATGGACAGCAGGCGCAGATGCACAAGGGGGGCATGACAACCATCCGATCTCCACCAACAAGAGACGTGGGGTGGCTTGTCAGAGGATGCAAAGCAGAACAGGTTGGACCACTCTCCTAGCCAAGCTTTGCAGCAGGTTTGCGGGTCTGTGGCTGCACTAAGGTGGAATTGGTCAGCTAATAAACCTTGGAATTACTTCCTCATCCCTGGAGCTGGGAAACTGACAATTTCTCAAAACTACCAAAACCACTGAAGGAATCCCCCTGAGAACACTCTCCTTCAGTTGGGGTCTCGAATGTGTCATCTCATGACAATCCCCGCATCCGTACACTGATGTAGTTCAACAGCAAGGAGCAGCCCCTTCTTGCTCCTCCCTAAGGACACAGGAGGAAAAAAAAACCAAAACCTAAAAGACACATCCCACCTCCCTTCCTCCATCCCTCCGTCCCAACCGGAGGCTCACATGTGCCTGCATCCCCCTCAACTATGTAAACAACATTACAAAGAAAATTAAAATAAAACATCCTTTAAAAAAAAAGATTTTACACACACACACACGCAGAAGGGGTCTTCAAAATCCTCACAGGAAACACATACGATGAAAAACCACGCACCGAGTCCAATTCTTGAGCCAATTTAAAAAAAAAATTTAAATAAATGAAGAAAAAATACACAAACTAAAACCTTAAAAGCTCATGGAAAATGGGAATTAAGGGATAGGTTCACTTAAAGAAAAGCCAGTTGCTTTTTCAATACAGCTTTGCCATGATCTTCTAAAGTCGGCCCTGGGGATAACAGACATTGCAATTCTGTTTAACAGTAGGTTTCTATCTGGACAAGAACTGGCCTTTCCTAAGAGTTCCTGCCAATGGAAAGAACCGTCCCTCAAATCAAACCCCATCCAGAAACCCTGAGTGATGGGGCATGTTCAACTGAGCGGCAAGAAGGGCTCCTTTTTTTGTTGGCTCCTTCCAAGAAGCGAGTGAGCAGGGCCTGCCGGCAGCTAGCCCACGAACATCGTTTAATCTGGCTTACGTCACTCTCAGAGGAGAGCCGGTGACTCGGGGAGCACTGGTCTCCCAACGTAGTGACTGCACAAAAGGGGGAAAAGTGAATGCCCACTTCAACACGCATTCTGTCATCTGGGGGACAGGTGCAAGAGGCCGCGCCTCATCTGCTTTTCCGTTTCGCAAGATGCAGGTGCATGCCAACCAACTGCATGCCAACCAACTGCCGCCCGGCTGACCTGCACATTTCCTACACAAACAAACAGAACAGCAGTCAGTCGGCTATGGCATTAGACACAAAGTACCTACAAGACAGACTATCTCTTATTAACAACAGTGTTCGAGCGAAACTTCCGGTCAAGCCAGCCCTGATCCGTGGACTCTGGGCAGTCTGAGCGGAAGGCTCAAGGCCAGACTGGCAAACCTGGGAGGGCGGAGTCCTACCTGGGGTGTGCTCCACTTCCCTTCATCAAAGATGTCCCCCAGAATGAAGACCACTTCCGGCTGCAGCAGCCACAGAGCCGTCTGGAAGGCCCTCTCCATTTGCCATTCCCTAGGGAGCAATGGGATGGGGCAGGGTAAGTCAACTCCTTGGGTGGGGGCCACTTCAGAAGTCAATCAACTGGTCTTCAATCAACTCTTCTTTCACAAATCCACTCTTCAAAAGAAAAAAAAAAATCTATTTTATTTTTGTTGGGAGATCAGAATTACAGAGAGCAGGAGAGATGGAAGATCTTCCTCTCTGTCTCTCCTCCTCTCTGTATATCTGCGTTCCAAGAAATAAATATATCTTAAAAAAAAAAGATCATGTGTATTATGAAAAAAAAAATTACGAGTGAATGTCAAACACATTTTTTTTTTGCACCAAAATAAAGTTACACGAGCCATTCCATATCCCATGAGCTTTTTGAAGTCTGCCAGGTACATACTGATCTCAGAAGTGGCACACGCAATTGGAAGAGGTTCTTTGTTAGTCATGAGAATGCAGAAAAACTCGTTCTGTAATACAGCTGTGGGATTAAATACAATAGTACCAGCAAGTGGCAAGAAACAACACCATCCTTGCTTCCCAGTCCTCCCTGCCCTCTCTGTAACCAGCTCCCATCCAGGTCATCTTCAGGGCCCCTGATGCTCTCTGGTTTTTATAACACGCTCCTAGTCGTGACCTCTAGGGTACAGAAACAGGGGGAGGTGGGGCAGCACTGTGGGGATGCTGGCTTCCACACAGGAGCACCAGTGAGAGCCCTAGCTACTCTGCTTCCCATCCACCTTCCTGCTACTGTGCTTGGGAACGCAGCAGAAGATGCCCAAGTGCCTGGGTTCTTGCCACATGGGAGACCGGGATGAAGTTCCTGGCTTCAACCCTGGTGCGGACCAGGCTACTGAAGCCATCTGGGGAGTAAGCCAGCAACAGGAAGATCTCTCTCTCTCTCTCCATCCCTCTCTTCATATCTGTCACCCTTCCTTTCACATAAACGGAGATAAGGGGGAAAGAGAGAGAAGACGAAGAAAGACGGGAGGAGACAAAAGGATATACGGAGATAAGAGAGGGGAGAAAGGAGACAAGGCAAGGAGGAATGTTTAAAAAAAAATATGTGGGGCCCAGAGCGGTGGCGCAGTGGTTAAGGTCCTCACCTTGCACGCCCAGGATCCCATATGGGCGCTGGTTCTAATCCCGGTAGCCCCGCTTCCCTTCCAGCTCCCTGCCTGTGGCCCAGGAAAGCAGTCGAGGACGGCCCAAGGCTTTGGGACCCTGCATCCATGTGGGAGACCCAGAAGAGGCTCCTGGCTTCAGACCGGCACAGCACCAGCTGTTGCGGCTCACTTGGGGAGTGAATCATTGGTCAGAAGATCTTCCTCTCTGTCTCTCCTCTCTGTATATCTGCCTTTCCAATAAAAATAATACAAATAAATCTTTAAAAAAAAATGTGGAAAAACAGAATATGCTAGGGCAGGTTGGGGTCAGGGCCTGGTCACCACCTGCCCGTCTCCTCCTGCTGCCCAGGGGAGGCCAAGATGCCCAAAATTACACCCTGGCATGGGCAGAGCGAGAGGGCACTGCCTAGCTCTGTGTCTTGTCCCAGCCTGGCATCACGAGGGCAGTTTCTTCACATGGCTGGCAGTTTGCTGTGCTCATTGACTGACAAACAAGGAGGTGTCTTCCCATTCGGGGTGGGTGCTAGAAGCTCCTCCCAGGGCACAAAGCTCACGGGGGACCCAAAACTGACGGCCACATAACAGGGCCCACTGCACGGCAGCCACTCAGCCAGCCATTCCAGGAACAGTCAAATGACCCAAATACTGTTAGTTAAAAACAAAACACTTATTTCTTTTTTTTCCATTGGAAAGGAAATGTCGACAGGGAAGGGAGAGACAGAAAGATCTTCCATCCACTGGTTCACTCCCCACGTGGCCGCAATGGCCGGAGCTGAGCTGATCCGAAGCCAGGAGCCAGGAGCTTCTTCTAGGTTTTCCCCCATGGGTGCAGGGTCCCAAGGCTTTCAGCAATCTTCAACTGCTTTCCCTGGCCCCCAAACAGGGATCCGGATGAGAAGTGGAGCAGCCAGGGTATGAACCGGTGCCCATTTAGGATCCCAGCACACGCAAGGCAAGGATTAGGCTTGGGAGCCACCCTACCAGACCCCAAATGTCCTTATTGAGTAAGAAAGAAACAAAGTGACCCACAAATCTTTAAACCTGCCTGCTGCCTGAAGAGTTTCCGAGTTCCTGAGTCACCTCTTACCTTCGTAGTTTGTCCAGCCAATGGCCAGTCACTTCCCCGAGCAAGTGGGTGTCAGCCAGAAACATGGCCCTCAGCACAGGATCTCTCCCACGGCCACGGGCAGGTGTTTTCATCTCAGGCCAGTGACACCGGCAGATCGCTAGGTAATAGATCAGAAACTCACAGAAGAAGAGCCCTGCGAAGACAATGGCTGCGAGTTTGAGCGGCAATGACCTTCTCCTCCGGAGCAGATGGAAAGTGAGCCTTTGGAGTGCCCATCTGATCATGGCCACGCTGCCCTTCCTGGGGGGGGATGTCAGCCACCAATGGTCAGGTCCACGAGGAACTCAACACGGAAAGCTGGGACAATCCGAGGGCAGGCATAGTCTCCGGGTCTTGGCTGCGTCTACGGGGGGAAAAGGCAACGAACTGGGTTGTGTTTCTCGAGAATTCTGCTGTCGCTGCCTCCCGCTAGGAAGAACTGAAGAGTTACAGACTCCCGCCTGCATTCCACGGAAGGCCCTCTGGTGCCCTGGCAAGGACGATGCCCCAAATGGCCAATCGGGGAATTAGCTCGCCCCGCAGAAGTCTGGGCACTAGGGAATGACCGCACAGAAACGACCCACTCTCTGACATTCTACAAATCATCGCAGAAGGAAGGGTGTGTGTTTGGCTGGGAGAATAGCAGGGGGAAATGTGACAAACAGTAGGTAAGGCCCTAGACTCCCGGGAGGATGGACCGCCATTCCCTGTACGACTTCAAATATGCACAGGCTGGGGCGGGTATGGGGCACAGCGGGCACGGTGCTGCTTGGGACACCTGCCCCCGTTTCACAGTGCCTGGATTCAAGTCTTACCTCTGCTTTCAATTCCAGCCTCCTGCTAATGTGCTCTCGGGAAGCGTTTGGGACCTTGTTGTTACCCACATGGGACACTAAGATGGAGCTTCAGACTCCTGACCTCAGATGGGTTGGGCCCAAATGTTGCAGGCAGGTGGGGAATGAACCAGCGGATGGGATGCCCCTAGTCCCGTCGCTCTGCCTTTCAAATAAGACATCAAGGGCCTGGCAGCCATGGCCTAGCGGCTAAAGTCCTCGCTTTGAACATGCCGGGATCCCATATGGGAGCTGGTTCTAATCCCGGCAGCTCCACTTCCCATCCAGCTCCCTGCTTGTGGCCTGGGAAAGCAGTTGAGGATGGTCCAAAGCTTTGGGATCCTGCACCCGCGTGGGAGACCTGGAAGAAGCTCCTGGCTCCTGGCTTCGGATCGGCGCAGCACCAGCCATTGCACTCACTTGGGGAGTGAATCATCGGATGGAAGATCTTCCTCTCTGTCTCTCCTCCTCTCTGTATATCTGACTTTGTAATAAAAATAAATACATCTTTAAAAAAGAATTCTAAATGAAAAAACTGAAATGTTAGGATTTTTTTTAAAAAATACGACATCAAGCAATTCAAATGTGTATCTCACTTTACTTAAAAATCAAGAGATTCGTAAGACCATAAAGATCCGTGGTCCTGGGTGTCTTCACAACTTTTTTTCTTCTTCCTTCCCTTGCCTTTCTCCTCCCCCCCTCCCCCAAGTCCCTCCCCCCCCCAAATAAACATAAACCCTCACAGACAGCGTGCACTGAAGACTGAAGGAATTCATTTCACACGGCATTCAGGTCACGAGCTGACAGAGCCACCTGACGCCAATATGAAAACCTTACCCCAGGAACAACAAACGGGGTTCCATCAAACGCAGACGCTTCGATGCAGCAACGCAAACAAGCAACAAAGTGAAGAAGCAACCAACAGAATGGGACAACATCTTTGCACTCTACGAAACCAGCAGGAAATAACATCCAGGATTTACAAAGAGCTTCAGAAACTCAGTGACAGCAAAACAAACAACCCTGTGTGCAAATGGCTGAAGGAGATAAACTGACATTTTTCAAAAGGACACATTCAAAAGGCTAACAAACGTATAGAAAGATGCTCAGGCTCCACCGGCTATCAGGAAAATACAAATAAAAACCACACCGAGATGCCACCTGACTCCACTGAGACTGCACCTCACATGTGGGCCATCTCCACCACTCTCCCAGGGACATCTGCAGAGAGCTGGACCGGGAGCAGAGCAGTCCGATCTCAAGCCTGCACTGCAGGAGGCAGCTTTCCCCACTATGCCACAGCACCGGTTCCAGTTTCTTTACTGAGATTTTCTTCATCGTACCTCGCTTCTGTAAGATCAGGCCACCATCCCACAATCACCGGAACCGTGGGGACACCTTTGAGAGCGGAAGTGGCTCTGACAAGAAGTGGACAGGAGAGTGGTCCAAGCCAGGCCTGGCCCCAGCAAGGTGGACCCGGGATGCTGTGAAGCAGGGAGTCTGCCTGCTGATAACCAGCTTCTTGCTCACCAAGCTTTTATTTATTTATTTATTTATTTATTTATTTATTTAGAATATTTACTTTTATTTGAAAGCCAGTGTTAAAGAAAGAGAGATTTTTCCATCTGCTGGTTAATTCCCAAACAGCCGCAATGGCCGGAGCTAGTCCAGTCCAGAGCCAGGAGCCAGGAGCCTGTCTCCCACATGGGTACACAGACCCAAGCACCTGCGCCACCTCCACTGCCCTCTCAGGCCACAAGCAGGGAGCTGGATCGTACGTGGAACAGCCAGGACTTGAACCACTGACCATATGGAATGTCGGCACTGCAGGCAGAGGCTTAACCTAACATGTCATTGTGCTGATCCCAACTTTTCAATATATTCATTTTATTTATTTGAAACGCAATTTCATTTATTTCAAGGGCTAAGTGACAGAGGGAGGGAGATAGGCAGAGAGAAATCTTACATCAGCTAGTTCACTCCCCAAATGCCTGAACAGCGGGGGTCAAAGTCAGGAGCCAGGAATTCCACGTGGGTCTCTCCCGTGGATGGCCCAAGTGCTAGAGCCAACGCTGCTGTGCCCCGAGAAGCCGGTGTCAGGAGTGGAGCTGAGTCCTGTGCCCAGGCACCCTGACACAGGAGGTGGGCATCCCAGTCACTGTCCTAAGCACACTGAATGTTCAACTACGTTAGTACCCGAGCACGTCAGTAGCTAAGGGTACGGACCGATCTACGTAGAAACTGAAATAGAACGGGGGGCAGTGGTACAGCGTGTTAAGCCGCCACGTGGGACACCTGCTTCCCATGTCAGAAAGCCAGTTCTAGTCCTCACTATTCTGCTCTGATCAGCTCCCTGCTAACTCCTGGGAAGCAGCAAATGATGACCCAGGCACGTGACCTGCCACCCACGTGGGAGATTCCGACGCAGATCACGGTACCTGGAATCAACCTGACCCAGCCCCAGCTGTTGAGGACATTTGGGGTGTAGCCCAGCAGATGGAAGGTCTCTGTAACTGTGCTTTTCAAACAAATATTCTGAACGACAGAACGCATACCCCGAGGACTCCTGACACCTTGTCTTTCCTGAAAGGTGCAGGACCGGCTGGGGGTTGGGCTTAGCACTCCCTGGGCATGCAAACGTGGGTTCTCTGAGGGTTCCCACTTTCCCAGGACCAAATACCAGAAGGACAAGTGTCCTGCAACAGATAACCCATCGCGGCACTTCTCCGCAGGGCAGGATGGGTGCGGCTACCGCCGAGAGCAGGATGGGTGCGGCTACTGCCGAGGGCAGGCAGGCAGGAAATGAAGAATGGAGGCCACTTCCGCCTCTGCGGGTACAGCCCGGGAGGTGAGGGGGGCTCCTGGGAAAGCCCCCTGTTTACACTCCAGGCAAGCAGAGCTCCCCCCTGACCGACGGCCTGCTGATGCTGCCTCAGCAACTGAAGGCCAGCTAGCAACAAGACGTCCTCTGGGCTGCGCTGGGGCGTATGGGGTAGAGCCGGGCCTGGGCAGAGCCAACCGGAAGTGCCATGTGCCGACCCCACAAAAAACACCTGTGCGGCTCCTCTCGGGGAGTTCACGGTGCTGTCTCCACGTGGTCACGTCTGAGACCCCAGGAAAAGCAACGTCGCTGGGACCCTGGCCTCTCGCTCACTGCTCTCTGCAAGTGAGCCAAAGAACCTGGAGTCGGAACACTGAGACTTACTGAGTAAGTGCTGTCAGAGCCATCCTGCTGTTACAGCCAAACTATGCTCCAGTTTCTTCCCGAAAGAACACAGAATGATCTGTGGAGCTGACGGGCAACACTGCGTCAGGCAGCAAGGTGTCACTTCGCAGTATGCCCATCGGGAGGTGTGCTGAGCTGTGCTCACTTCCAGAGCCAAGTCTAACACCAGACTCAGGGACAGACCTGCCTTACTATCTGTTAAACTTGCTGGCAGCAGTGACTGGGATCTGGGAAGACAACCCCAGACCAGGTAGAGCTGTAGGGGAGCCCCGGCAGAGCTGTGGGGGAGCCCCGGCTTCCTGTCAGGAAAGACAAAAATCACAGGCGCTCCAGAGGGAGTCTGCCACCTGTTCTCAAGTCTTCTATCCTGGACACTGGACACCCAGCAGCAGTGACGGCAGCTACACAGCGCTGCCAGGAATCCACACTGCAGCCTGCTCTGTGATTCTGGGTGGGGTCCCACAACTGCGAACTTCACAACACCCACAGGACCCGATGCAGTGATGAGGGTTGATGGAAACAATGTGAATCCTTGTAAAAGCCGGGCTTTTTAAAAATCTATTTAACATAGAGGCAGAGAGACAGAAAGAGAAGGCACTCCCCAGCTGCTGGCTCATTTCCCACAGGGCCCTACTGACATGGCTGGGTCTAGCCAAGGCCTCCTTGGAGCTGGAAACAATCCAGGTCTCCCGGTAGGTTTTCTGGAAGCAGGAAGGACATGACCATCTAGATATCCTAAATGGATTTTCAACGCTTTCTGTAGACTTGTTTTCTTTCTCTTTCTTAAACTTCTAGAAGTAGCCTCCTATGGGGGCCTTGATTACAGCACAGCAGGTATTAACACCACTTGCCCATCCCATATCAGAGTCCAGCTCACGGTCCAGCTGTGCCACTTCCAACTCAGTTTCCTGCTAGCTGCTACTGGGAGAAAGAAGCGGTCCAGGTGCTTGTGTCCCTGAGACCTGAATGGAATTCCTGGATCTTAGCCTTGGTCCAGAGCACACCCGGCTGTTAGAGAACAAACCAATAAATGGAAAATATCATATTCGATCTTACAAATAAATAAACAGACATTAAATTTAAAAGCAGCAGCACCCTTGTGTTGTGGAGAGAGACTATACATTCTTCCTGCTGGGTTATCACTTAATAATGAAACTCCCAAATCGAATTTAAGAAATAACAACAGCCCAAGTAGTTTTTGTTTTTAAACCAAAATATGTTCATGCAAAAGAAAACTGCTGACAGCCTGCCTCTCTAGCTCTCTTTCTCCTTCTTATAAAATTCAGTAACAATTCTTTTTAATGTCCATGGAGGGGCAGGCCTTGTATATGCTAAGCTAAGCTGCCTACCCTGGGATGCCAGCAGCCTACACTGGAGTACCTGGGTTCAAGTCCCACCTCTGCTTCTGACCCTGCCACGTGTCACCTGGGAAGCAGTGGAAGATGGCCCAACTGGCTGGGCCTCTACACCCATGCAGGAAACCCAGAAGAAGCACCTAGCCATGGCTATTTTTTTTTTTTTAGGTTTATTTACTTTTATTGCAAAGTCAGATATACAGAGAGGAGGAGAGACAGAGAGGAAGATCTTCCATCCGATGGTTCACTCCCCAAGCAGCTGTAGTGGCCAGAGCTGTGCCAATCCGAAGCCAGAAGGCAGGAGCTTCGGGGTCTCCCATGCGCATGCAGGGTCCCAAGGCTGTGGGCCAGCACAGTAGTACAGCAAGTTAATCCTCTGCCCGCCAGTGTCAGAATTCCATCCCCAAGTGAGTGAAACGGCTAGTGCTGCGCCGATCCGAAGCCAGGAGCCAGGAGCTTCTTCCAGGTCTCCCACACAGGTGCAGGGTCCCAAGGCTTTGGGCCATCCTCAACTGCTTTCCCAGGCCACAGCAGGGAGCTGGATGGGAAGCGGGGCTGCCGGGATTAGAACCGGCACCCAAATGGGATCCCAGAGCATTCAAGGCGAGAATTTAGCCCCCAGGCTATCATTTTGGGTTCATCCCTGGCTATTCTGACCATTTGGAGTGTAAACCAGTAGGTGGAAGATCTGTCTCTCCCTTGTTCTGTAACTCTCTTTTTCAAATAAAATATATACATCTTAAAAAAAAAAAGCTAGGGAGGATAGAGTAATGAGTTTAGACATCAGTCTAGTGGCTTGTAATCAGAACTTTTTTTTAAGATTTATTTTTTTAATTTTTATTGTGAAGTCAGATATACAGAGAACAGAAGAGACAGAAAGGAAGATTTTCCATCCGATGGTTCACTCCCCAAGCAGCTGTAGTGGCCAGAGCTGTGCCAATCCGAAGCCAGAAGGCAGGAGCTTCGGGGTCTCCCATGCGCATGCAGGGTCCCAAGGCTGTGGGCCAGCACAGTAGTACAGCAAGTTAATCCTCTGCCCGCCAGTGTCAGAATTTCACATGGTGCCAGTTTGTGTCCCAGCTGCTCTACTTCCCGTCCCGATCCCTGCTTGTAGCCCGGGACAGCAGCAGAGGACAGCCCAAAGCCTTGGGACCCTGCACCCATGTGGGAGACCCGGAAGCAGCTCCTGGCTCTATACCTATGTGGGAGACCCAGAGGTAGCTCCTGGCTCCTGGCTTCAGATCAGCTCAGCCCTGGCTGTTGTGGCCATCTGGAGAGTGAACCAGCAGATGGAAGATCTTTCTCTCTGTGTCTCTCCTGCTCTTTCTGCAAATCTGCCTTTCCAGTAAAAATAAATCTGTAAAAAAGATCAATGTATTTATTGGAAAGGCAAAAGTGCAGAGATGGAGAGAATACAGAGGCAGAGTTCTTCCACCCTCTGGTTCACTCCCCAGATGGTCACCAAGGCACTTCAGCCTCCTTCTGCTGCCAGCAGGGAATCGGACGGGGTGGGAACTGGCTCAGTGGGGGGGACTCCAACTGGCACCCACAGGAAGTCATGCCTCTAACCTGCCTCTGTGCCACAATGCCAGCATCCTGAATTTTCCCTTTTAAAGAAGCAAATTCAATCTTGGGAGCGCTGGCTTGCAGGACAATCACAGGGTGCCTCACCTTTTGACAAAGGCTACGCAGGGATAGGAGGTGGCAGGAAGCACTGAACTTGGGTGTCTGCACCCAGTCACAGCGTGTTGACCTGCAAGGAAACAGAGAATGTGTCGCACTGCTGAGTGACGTCTGATGGGGTAAAGCAGTGGAAAGTCACCTGACCCCCTTCAGAAACCAAGAAGCCAGGGAAAAATACCACCGCTGCTCAAGAACCACCTCACATCAGAAAATACTTAAACGAGGACACTGTCAGACGTATAGCAATGGAATTAACAGACTTGTTCTATTTGGTGCAAAAAGTGTCTTAACCTGTGTATAATTTTCCATAACATGCAGGTTACACACTCATCTTGCATGCAGGGATTTCAAGTTTTTTTGTGCCAAAATAAACTCTTCATTTTCCAGAAACTGGCAGTACCAAGCAGCCTGCTACATACAACACGGTCCTATGCTGTTAGCCACACGGGAATTCCAGCTGCAACTCCAAATCAGGCAAACATTCCACCCGCTGATTTCAAGCTTCAGAGCTAACCTTAAATACAAATGTCCCCCCCAAAACTGCCATAACAAACTACTATTTCACCTGCACCGACCTCGTCAATACGCATGTGACATTTGCCACCGTTCACGGAGGGGTATTTTAAAAGGATAACACAGATCATTTTTCACGCTACGAGCAGGAAGTGAGGCTCTGAGATTTTGCAAGTCAACAACTCGTTTCCCCGACGCTGCGGCGTTCTCCTCCCCCCACCGCACCCCAAGAAGAAGCACCTCCACTCTGCAGAGCTAACCTTCGGATACTGACGCCGTCACGCGAGGCCCACGGCGGACACGCGACCCTTGCTGTCCCGGGGTTCGGCAAGCGTGCCAGCGTCGCCAAGCCAGGTCAGTCCCCGCCAAGGCGCCCGGCCCGCGCGGCTCCCGGGGAGCACGGCCCGCTCCCCACGCTCGCCGGACGCGCCTCCCCGCTTCGCCGGCTTCCGGCTTCCCCTCTCCGCCCGGGCGCGTCCCGGTCGCCCCTGGCAACCCGCGCGGCGCCTACGTTCCGGCAGGGCGCACGAGTCCCGGATGGCGCAGGAGTCCCGGATGGATGGCGCGCGTCCCGGATGGATGGCGCGCGCCCCAGCGCCCACGCAGGCGCACCGCCGCGGCGGGGGGACCCCAAGAAAGGCCCAGACGCGCCGAGTGCTGCAGCCCCCGGGACCCGGAGGCTCGGCCCTGGGCCGGAGGGCGGAGGAAGGAGCGCTCCCGAGAGCCAGGAGAGCTGAGGGGCCGTCCCTGGGAAATGCCCGTGGGTTTGGGGTGGCCGAGCAGGGGCGGCGATCGGCGCCCACGCGGACTCCTGTCCCGGACACTGCGGGCAGCAGCGCTGATGGCCCCGCGCTGCCCAGGGCCCCGCTGCCCCGGGGGCTCAGCTGCAGCTTTGGACGCCTGCTGCCTGCCCTGCCACCCTCTCGCCAAGTGAGGACAGGCCAGTGAAGGGCGCATGGCACGCTTGAGAACGTGGGAGTGATATTTCCACAGACTTTCTTTTGCACTGCTAGCATGTTCCCTTTTGCATCCATTAACGCACAAGGTCTTCAAGATTCAGGCTGCGAATTAAAAAGCAGAAATCATAAACCTGTTTCAAGAAGTTAGGTAAGATCCTAGTGATTGACAGCGTCTACAAGAGATGACCAAGTAAAGAAAGAATTTAACTTATCCCGTGTTGGTTTTACCGGCCAGCTGGGAAAGAAAATGCCAGCAGGCACCAGTGCAAACAAGCCTTTCTCAAACATAGGGAAGTCGGTTCCTGGGCCTTTCCTCCTGCGGCAGAGGAGCAGAAAGGGCAGGCAGGAAAAAGAAATTAGTGGGGGTTTATGCCCCTTCTGACGTGGGTGCTGGTACAGGCTCTGCTTGAGCCCTAATAAGGTAAGAGATGTTGACCCGAGTCCATCACTGGCCTGTCCGTGGCCTTGACCTCTGGCTGAGGCCACTGTGGTGTCCACCCGCTTTGTGCAATCATCACACCACACCTCAGAGCTCCACAGCTGTCAGAAAAACACTAAAATCCGTGCCCTTGTTCCCATCTCCCTGTGATCCGCGGCCGGCAATGGTACGCCAGGTGCCAGTGAGAAGTGAGTTGGCAAAAGGAGCAGGCTAAACTTCAGGCCACAAAATAAGCAATAATTCTCTTGTACTAACCCCTTCGCCGACCTTGATTATGGGTGAGGAACGCTGTTTTATCACCGTGCCAGGGCTGAGTAAACACTGTTCTCCATCCTGACTACACAAAGTGTGGGCAGCGGATTAACGTGGCCTCCCGTGTGGGCACTGGTTCAAGTTCTGGCTGCTTCACTTTTTTTTTTTTTTAAGATTTATTTATTTATTGGAAAGGCAGATATACAGAGAGGAGGAGAGACAGAGAGGAAGATCTTCCATCTGATGATTCACTCCCCAAGTGAGCGCAGCGGCCAGTGCTATGCCGATCTGAAGCCAGGAGCCAGAAACTTCTGAGTATCCCACACAGGGGCAGGGTCCCAAAGCTTTGGGCCGTCCTTGACTGCTTTCCCAGGCCACAAGCAGGAAGCTGGATGGGAAGTGGAGCTGCCAGGACCAGAACCGGCGCCCATATGGGATCCCGGTGTGTTCAAGGTGAGCACTTTAGCTGCTAGACCACGCTGCCAGGCCCTGCTCCACTTCTGATCCAGCTATCTGCTGCTGCACCTGGGAGAGCAGCAGAAGATGGCCAACGTCGTGGTCCCTGAGCCCATGGGAGAGACCTGCACGCAGTTCTTAGGTTCTTCCCGGCCCTTCCTTGGCCTTGGGGCCACGTGGAGAGTGAACCAGCAGAGGTGGGATCTCTGTACCTCTCCCTCTGTAACTCTGCCTTTCAAATAAATAAATAATTTAAAAATGTCATCATGCACTAACTCCTTTAAATAGACTTGTTAGAAGTTTAAATAATAATAATTATATATATATATATATTTTTTTTTTAATTGGTGGGCCAGCCTAGCAGCTGAAGTCCTTGTCTTGCATGTTCCAGAATCCAATATTCTGGCCTGTTCTAATCCCAGCAGCCCCACTTCCCATCCAACTCCCTGCTTGTGGCCTGGGAAAGCAATTGAGAACGGCCCAAAGAACATGAACTGGTGCCCATACTGGGATGCTGTGCTTGGAGATGGACGATTAGCCAGTTGAGCCATTGCACCAGGCTCTAAAAGTTTCAGTTTTAAAGGAGTCAACTTTACAACTGATTAGACTGAGTTCATCATTTTGCTCAGGTTTAATTTACATTGGCCAAATGATTTAAACCTCTGACAATTCTTTTACATCAAAAGCTCTAAAACTGAGTCTTCGACATTCAGGCTTCCTGCTAGGTTCCTAAAACTCTCAAAGGATGAGAACCAAGCCTGGCACATTGGCTAAATTGAATATTTTTGTTTTTGTTTTTGCTTTGAAGCACCAGGATCCCATATTGTGCCAGTTCGTATCCCAGCTGCTCCACTTCCCATCCAGCTCCCTGCTTGTGGCCTGGGAGAGCAGCGAAGGATGGCCCAAAGCCTTGGGACCTTGCACTCAATGTGAGAGACTCAGAAGAAGCTCCTGGCCCCTGGCTTCATGTCAGCTGAGCTCCGACCACTGCAGCCACTTGGTGAGTGAACCAGCAGATGGAAGAACTTTGTCTCTGTCTCTGCTTTGTATAAATCTGCCTTTCCAGTAAAAACAAATAAATCTTAAGAGAGAGAGAGACTATTGAGTAAGAGAGATAGTAGCTGCCTTGTGCTTTGTGCAATCCAGCACTAAGTACCTAGGAACCATCCAGCTCCAGGTGGCGGCTCAGACAAGGCTCCTGAGAAAATCCACATTCCGCCAAGCACGCTTAGATCATCAACCCTTGGAAGAATGGCTTGCTCGGTAGTCCCTTCTGCCCACGAAGCAGCCAGAGCAGTCATCGTCCACATCTCCCTAACTGCAGCTACGATTCCTTTTTCTCAGGGCGGGGACTGGGAGGAGGTAGACAAACTGACGGGCGTTGGTGGGAAAGGAGGGTGTCCCCCTTGGACGGTAGAAATGCCATTTCACTGCCGAGTTTCTGTTTTTCTCGGGAGAGCAGCAGGAAGCAGTGGTGCCACTCTGTGTGTTTTCGTGTTGTTGTAATCATGGGAAGAAGTTACCATTATTGGCTTTTTGTTTTGAACAAGCTAGGCAGGATTACAATTGCAGCCCTTTGATGAGGTCTGTCATCACCCGTGACTGACTTCAGGGGCTGTTCTATTTTTCTTTCCCAAAAAGTTATACCTAAAAGACCCCACTTAGATTTTCTGGTGTTCCTCTCTTGGAGCCTCCCTCCTGAGTGCTGCAATAAGAGGCTTCTGGTTTAAATAAATCTTGCCTTGCTCATGGAAAAAGAAAAGCTCAATAAATCATTTACCATTAATGATTGACTCAACTGCCAGTCCCTCCCTTCCTCACAGGTGATACTGAAAGATCCAACCATTCAAATCACCCTGCTCTAAAGAAAATGAACCAATCCTGCTTTTTATTTATTTGAGAGACAGAGGCAAGGAGAGAGTTTACAACCTCCCAAATGTCTGTAAAAGCTGAAGCTGAGCAAGGATAGAAGCTGAAAATTGGAATGAAATCCCAGTCTCCCAAAAAACAGTTTGAATAAGCCAGCTACCTGAGCCATCACCACTGCCTCCCAGTATCTGGATTGTCAGATAGGACAAGGAGTTGAACCCACCAACTCCAGTGTGTGCCTGTTAGCAGGACAAACGCCTGCTTCTGCAACTGTCTTAGTCCTGGTTAAAGTCAACCAGCTATCCTTGTGAACAGACCTGAGTCATAACTGAGTAGATAAAGACCTGTGGGTGGTGAACTCCCCTTGATAAGAAGTCCCAAGTTCCATCCCACAGCAGCTGGGTCAAGGATTCCTGGCTGCAGGCTGGGTAGGGTGTCCCAGGAAATCTTCCCGTGCCACATTGCTACACCCACTGGCATAAGTGAGAACCAGGTCCAGGTCTGGCTGCTACACCCACTGCTACATGGGAGAGATGGGACTGGGGCAGGACTAAGAGGGGGACCAGTTGGCGGCGGGCTTCATGAATCTCATATTACCCTGATTTGATAGAATCCCTGATCCTGGGGACCAGAGCCTATTGACATGTGGACAGGTCTCAGAGAACAAGTTACAAAGTTAGGCCACCTTCACAATGACTCTTATTTCAAGATGAAGAACATACCCAGGTGCGCATGAAAGATAAAAATCCCCGCTCTTCAGAGCCAACCAAAGACCTCAGTCACCTCCTCAAAGGATGGAAAGAAAAACAAGTTCACAGTTCTTCAGGCCAAGTTCTATAGCTACCATCCAAGTCTGTGGTTGTTCTTGTTGTCAGGGAGAACTTACAGAAATAAAGTATGTATATGATACATATATATGCATATTTATTATACATTCTCTATAGACTTGCATAGACATTCTATATAGAATTCTGTCTGAATAGAATTTATATACAGGGAGCAAAGACGAGCCTGAGTGAGGACGGTTGGAGTATGTCCTCTCTTGGACATTGAAGCCAGCAGCCTCTCAGAGCAAACAAGGTGATGTGGGGACACAGCCATAGCCACTGAAGGGCAAGCATGTACCCAGCAATAACAACGCACTAGATGGGGCCCGGCGCGGTGGCGCAAGTGGTTAAGGTCCTCGCCTTGCACGCCCGGGGATCCCATATGGGCGCCGGTTC